AAAGAGAAAGAACAGCAAAACATTCAGCAAGCGCATTTACAAATCAGATAGTCTCGTGTTTTGATACTTATGTATCTTGTATAACATACTAACATTTAAAGTTGTTAAAATGATATCTAAATTATAGATATTTGTGTAAAGACTTTCATTTTAAAAGGCGCCATTGGCCAATGCAGCTAAATGTGTTTTATTCTTTAAACCTGAACCTAACGAACATTTCAATTTTGCAGAATGGACCTAGTCATTGGAAAGTTACAAAATATGTACTGAATTAATAGCGAAAAGTGCAAGCTCTTGATCTGCATTGGTCGCATATGTAGAATCTGTTGCAGGCTAAATGTTAATAAATCAATGCTGATCTCAGCAATATGAAATTTAATTGCTGTTTTTAGTGATCTTTCTGCCAAACAATGGAATTGAGCCGCGTCACGACAAAACCAACATAGTGCGTTTGCGACCAGCATGGATCCAGACCAGCCTGCGCATCCGCACAGTCTGATCAGTATCCATGCTGTTCGCTTACCAACCCTTTTACAAGTAGAAAAACTGATGGCGAACAGCATGGATCCTGATCAGACTGCGCGTCTGGGCAGGCTGGTCTGGATCCATGCTGGTCGCAAACCCATTATGTTGGATTTGTCGTGACGCGGCTCAAATGGTTTTTACCCATCAATCATTGAATGATCAATATAACCATCGACGAAATCACTCTTATTAATGAAATATTCTCAGCCCTGGAAACAGTTTAACTATTGACACGCATCTGTGGATTAAATTATCTTGTTATATTTTGGCTAAAGGTGGTCCTTTGGGAAATTAAATGGAAAGAAATTTAGCTGAAATATTTGCTGTTGCATGTGTCGGATCAAGACACGAGATGTTAAAGCTGATCACCACAATTATTTGATAATCGTTTACTAGAATATTTCTAACATTTTGAAGACATTTGTTTTAATTCCAAGCAAGTTCCTAGTTATAAGTGAGATACAATTTATATAACTCACTGCATATGTCCCATTGCATAGACTGAAAATATGATTTGGAAGGCATTGCCAATAATACAGAACTCGGTAACACATGGGTAAAAAATGTACGTATACAATAAACAAGTACGAGATGCAGCAATATAGTTGTATAAATACTCTGCAAAAAATATGTGCAGATTAAATAGATAATGTAAAAAAATAAGATGAATAAAAGGACATTCCAACTGATGGAAGGAAATCGTAGGACATGAATTTGTAATTAAAGAACAAACCTGATTTTTAACTTTTTTTTTTAAAAAGTTTATGTCAATAAGATTTTACACTGATCTACAATAGAATATCTATATACATGGTATACATGATACTGTTTATAATTAATTATCATTGATAAGTAGTACATTTTATATTGCAGTCTCAAAGCAGCTCAATTAAATATTACATTCTAAGTATTGCGAGATTTTATCTTTCATAGATTATTGAAACTTGTCCGGTTTTCAAAGTTCTCTTAAATGTTAAACCAATTAGCCAAATATCTATCAAAGAAATTCAACAAGTCCCATTTACTTTCTATTTTACCTCAGAAATCCTTGCTCAATTTTGAAGACAGCAGCCAGTTGCATTAAATTTCGGAAGACATAGACAAGAGAAGATTTTCTCGGCAAATGATCAATAACTTTTAACGATTGATGTTGCCGACAACTAATAATCTGAGAGTGTCGGCATCACTTTAGAAAACTGTCAGTGATTTCCAGACAAATTGTACTGGTAAACGGCTTCAACAGGCATTAGTTCAGGAGTCAAGAATTTATATATTGCTACAAAGAATCTTTTCTCTATACTTTTCTGTTACTTACACATTTTGTATTTCTATATGTAACGATATAAAAATATTACTAGATCTATTCCCTTTAAGAATTTTGTGAATTTAACTCAATGAACAGCTAAGATTTAAGCACAAAACTGACATTTCAGTTCACTATAAATCAAGGCCAACTTGTACAGTCTAATAAGACTCTTTATTGCTGGCACACTTGTTTTCACAAAAAGATGCACAGATCCCTGACCTGTCTAATTCTTATTATCAGAGTAGGGATCCATCACTTGATAATGAACAGTTGCAAAATAAGAAGCCTGAAAATCAGCAGGTTATTGGTTGAGACAAATAACAATTGGAAGCTGTCAGTTTTGTACAGACAAAAACATACTGTGGATGGATTATGAGCTTTATAAACAATCTTATTTTAGTATCTTGATATGTTTTAAAGGTATATGGAATGGTTACATATGATTGATAATTACATAACATAATTTATTTAACCTTTGCATTATCCGAAAAGGGAAGCATCCCAGCTATGGTTACACGTGTTTTTTTCCAGGGAAATCTAACTGGCGTGGGTGGAGGGTAAAAGACGGTGGGCTAAAGAAATGGTGTCTTGTTATATAAAATAAATTCTCAACACATGTATCAGAGTTTTTTCTCAAGTTTGGGAATGGTGTTGGTACTAGACTAATTGGGAAAAAATGCGTTATTTTGATTTAAATTGGCAAAGAAAAATTTATGCATTTTTCAGCTAAAAATAAAATTAGTTATCATCAATAAAGATATCTAACAGCTTCCATTGTCCAAGTAGAACTATTGAGTGGTGATTTATATGAATATGTTGAATTTAAATGATTTCAGAGAAATCACTTGGCCTTGTGGGAATTTTGATCAGCCATTTTGGGAATTAAAACATAGAAGTTGGGAATTTTCAGGTCTATTTTCTATTGGGAACAGTACTGTTTTAGGGTAGTAGTTATATACTGAAAAAAACACTGTATATATCATCATTAATTTTTATCACTCAAAAATGTTCATAATCTGACATGCAGTTTTGGGCCAGTATATTACCTCACAATTAAAGTCCTACAATGTAAATTTTCATAACTGAATATAATATTATTTTCTATTTCCCTGATTGTTTTTTTTAAAAAGAATGGTATACGAACATAATGAGACTTTATACCTAATTTGAAAAAAAAAATTGCCACGCGGACTACGGCTTAAGTCAAGCTGATATTTTAAGATCGTACTTTCTAGGCCAGTGCAATGTGTTTGATATTATTCTAAAGACGAGCTATTTGCATTACCTCACCTGCAACGAAAATGGACAATTAAGGTGACTGTTAAATCTGGAAAGTGGTGCCTTTTTATGAAAAATAAACAAAATAAAACAAAACAAAAGCAGCGGCAGCAGCAGCAGCAGCAGCAGCAGCAGCAGCAACAACAATCGCAAAAACAACAACAATCACAAAAATAAAAACACAAAATAAAATAAAATCTTTATATATTAGCACGAGGCCCAGAGCCTATGACAAGCAGTCATTCTGCAACCTCGTTTCTTACACCTGATATTGCCGGAAAGGAAAGCATGCGAGCCTGGAAAATGATACATATTATTAAAATACATTTAAGAGTTTTTAAACATAATTATTTTCAAAATAAGCGATAAAATGCAGTATTGTTATTCGTTTGTTGATTTTGTTATAGTGGGCTGTTCTGCCCTAATTTCATAACTTGCGTTCCAGTAAACGATTTAATACATCTTTATTAGTTTGAGTAAAAAAAACAAACTTCGTACTCTGATTGAGAGTTGAGGACTTCCGTTTTTATTTCTCCCGACACCAATATGTTTAATATATGGATCCACAAAGTACGTTTTTATTATAATTATATCTAGAAGTGTTTAAATTATGATCAACCAATTACTCAAAGTATGAAGTAAAGCATGTTACTTTTAATATCTAAAATGGTCAAGGGGGAGAACTGTTGAATCATGTTATAGATTGAAGTTAGGCACGTTTATCGCCAATCACAGCATAATCGGAGTAAATCAGAATAAAACAAAAATACTGGCATAACCGACTTTGCGTAGCACACAACTATTATTGTCAGGAATAAACCTGCAGTATTGCATATGCAGCTAGTAGAAGCTTAACATTATATCTTGGCACTCTTACAATTACTTCTGATGTGATTACACTTTAATAAAGAATACAAATTGTTGTCAAATATTGTTGGCTTGTTTTCATCGTTTATACAATCAAATATGTCTAATGTCTAGAATATTATCGCAAAATGTCTTATTATTACTTTTCCCATATTTGCATATTATAGGGAAAGCAAAGAAAATTACTTAAACAGAGACCGATAAACAAAAAACTCACAAAACAACAAAAAAAAAAAACCAACAAAAAAAAAAACCAACAAAAAAAAAAAAACAACAACACAAAAACAACACAACACACTAACCGACCCCCACCCCAAAAAACACACACACAACAACAAATTAAAAAGTATAAAAGTCATAATGTCCGATGGAAAATTTAAATATTAATAACTTAATTTATACATCTAATGAAATAATTTATTCAAGATTGATGCCGCTTTTAAAATTAACCATTCTTTCTTAAACCTCCTAGTGACCGATAAATTATGTTTAAATATATTATAAATCAATCTAGATACTTATCACTAAAATTATCGACAGGTTTAATGAAGACATTTATATTGAGCAATTTTATAACGATACCCTTTCGTTCTTAAATAAAGAATTTTTGGTTTAAATTTTCAAAATTGTGTCAATAACTACATTAATGATAAGTCCGGTGATTTATGGCATTGGTGAATACTTAAAAGTTCAATTTATTTCAAGGGTCTTAAATTTAGGACTTTTCTTGTACAACATAAATATTACAGATAGTGTATATAGTAATGATATAGGTAGAAATATCAAAATCTTCAGCTAGGTCTTGTTATTCGGAATGACAAGAGGGCGAGCGGGGTTCCATAAATAATGAATATAAGATAGATAAATCACTAATTGATTATTTGCGAATTTTCCTATCGATCTATTACAGATGACGGGGGATTTTTCTGTAATCCCTCTTTTTGAATTTTCTTAAGATAAATTAATACGCAAGTTTGGGTTGCTACTGTAAACGTATCTACTGTTGCCAACAATTTTCACCACTGCACGTGCAGACGATGAAATAGCAATTGTATTAATGCGCGTGTTATTTTACTTTTGTATGACAAAAAAGTGTTAAAAGCTTTAGTTTTGATTTGATATTTCAATAACACAGGTACGTTATTCTTTAGAGATAAATTTACAGTTGAAATGGATTTAAAACTTGCAATTTTAAGTAGAAAACGGAAGTAATCAAATAAATTTTGAAAAATTGATTGCTTTCCAAGTATATATTTAAAAAAAAAATGAAAAGAGATTTTTAAGATACAAAACTGATAAATTTAAGATTTCTTTTCTAGACTAAATAGCAAAAATAGAAGTAATAATGATTAATAGAATCAATATTAATATCAATTTACAATATAAACTGTGGTCATTTTGAGCTTAATGATTTTTGTAACTATTAGCTTACAACATTTTAATTTCTATGACTTATCTGTTATTCATTAGTACTTTAAGTTACATAGAATGACTTTAAAAGTTATCAATTTCGAATGGTAACAAAATTGTGGTTCGTTTTAAAATTATATTTCATTATCCTAAAAAAAGGCGGAAATGTTTACTAAGTCAATATCGAGCTGTATATAGTATCTTTTTGTAAAATTTTGATATGTTTAATTTATCTTCATTACTTATATGAAATTCTTTACTGTAAAAATTTGTCAGATCTTATTTGAGAAGATATTCCTTAAGTGTGGTTTACAACGAGGCGCGGTTGTTAAACTATTGTATCTCCAAAGTGGTCCTATAAATTAAAAGCGGGTATACAAAGGCAAAAGATAGCTCTTAATGTCCATTGATTTCATATATGAGCCGCGTCACGACAAACCCAACATAGTGCGTTTGCGACCAGCATGGATCCAGACCAGCCTGCGCATCCGCGCAGTCTGATCAGGATCCATGCTGTTCGCTTACAAACCCTATTTCAAGTAGAGAAACTGATAGCGAACAGCATGGATCCTGATCAGACTGCGCGGATGCGCAGGCTGGTCTAGATCCATGCTGGTCGCAAACCCATTATTTGGTTTGTCGTTACGCGGCTCAATTATATTGATATATTCTTCATTCAAACATTAAACGAACTTTGGTATCGTTAAATATATATTTAATTTCGTTAATTTATTGTTATGTCGTATAAATAACTGTCGTCTGCCAATTGATTTCTCCAGTCATAATAGCGATAATTTGCCAAAGTGGTATGAGCCAAAAATAAATGTCATTTTATATATGAAGTATAAAAAAAAACATGAATTTTGTAGATGTATTGTTGGAATGAATATATAGTATTTACAAACACTGCGAGGACTTTGGCATTTTTAGCATTTAAGTCATTTAAGTCGGATTTGAAATACAACACTTAAAAGTTCTGTGCAAAAAAATGATCAATAAATGTTAATTGAAATTAATTCAAATAACATAATTTAAATAATTGAGATTTAAATTGGAGTTATGAAACGCCTCTTCAATTTGTATGTTTCATAGATAGAACAGTGATCAAAGATTCATCACAGATGGCGGACGATATTAAAGAAGGTAATTTATTATTATTACTTTTGTATAAATTATATCATTTTTATTTTCATTTCAGTCACAAACTTTGTGAGTTCAATTTTCAGTTTAAAATTGACTTAGAAAAGAAAAAATGAAGAAAAAGCTTTATAAAAGAATATTTTTTATATTATTTTGTAAATTTTTTTGAATTCATTTATATGGATAAGTACTAGAAGTTTAAAGTGACATTATGCTCATTTTTTTCATTGTCAAATTGATAATGGTGATTCAACAACACATGATTTTTGAAAATGTTTAGGGTAAAAAATAAATCTACCTAAATATATAAAAATACTGTCTCCCACTATTTTTATAAATTGAAAGTTACAGATACATTCCGACGGATAATTACACACATTTCACAGGGACCAGTGAGTTATTTATCGTTCATGTGAAGTAAATTATAAAATTGTAAGAAATTATGAGAAAATGTTAACTTATTTTGACTTCCACCTGTTCACTCTATATCTACCCATGGATGGGCTTAATGTCACTATAATCAATAATAATAATAAAAAAAAAAAAACATAATTATAATTTTTATATATCAACATGTATCTATATCATGGTTGGAATGCTTTTGCCGTTAGTATAGTGTCAGCGCACCCAGGCTCTATACTGTTAGCTAATTAATATAAATTTTTATCATGAAATCTCTAAATTAAATCATGGGTAGTTCCCCCAAGTCACTGATAAAATGATGCAGTTGGCTAAAATGATAAGTATAATGTCTAAAGTTGGGTGACCGTCCCCTTTTCTAAAATAAAAAGTCTGCCACATATTCAAATCAATATAACGTATAAAGCCATTGGTACAACTATTTAGAGAGAAAAAAATCTTATATGACATAGGAGAAACATTATCAAAATATCACTTAATAGCCATTGCATGTCGACTTATACAAATACAATGGATTCGCAATTGCCGGTTTCTGGGATGTGGGATGTGAAAAAAATAGTTCTTTCTCCGTAAAATATCGCACACGTTTGACACTCTTGAAGAACTTTGTGTTTCAAATACAAATGTGATGATTAAAGGAAAGCTACTTTTTCTCGGCGTTTGAGCATTTGAAATGAATAGGTGAGACATGTTGCATACGAATATTCATGCACATGGTCTTACGAAATCTCTAAAATGAGCTATGACAAATGGAGTTGAAATATGAGTATCTTAAAACTTTCATTGCATAATAAAAATAATGTAATGTACACGTGTCTAAACATAGGGATATCTGTGTTATGTAAATTCATTAATTTTCGAATAGGATAAAGGTGGTCTATTGTACTACAATTCAATATCGGCTCTTATCCAGACAAATTTGTATTAATATAATAATTATCAAGGCATGTTTTGATCCACAAAATATATAACTCAGTGTATTTATAAGGTATAATGAGTATGAAAAGAATTTCAAGATCAATGTCAAATCTTGATTAAAACACTTAATCTTGTTTGTGTTTATTTTAAAGTGGAAAGGCAAAGTGCTTCGTAATAGATAACATATCTTGATATTATAAGATACACAAAACAATTGTCTAATTTAGTAAAATAATTATTCGAATATGAATTACATGTGACGTTTTACTGACTTTTTGATTTAAAATTGTTTTCTTATGGAAAAAGCCAGGATTAGTTGACAAAATAATGTATGTTTAAAGGGATAAAACAGTTAAATGGATAATGTAATTTACTTCCTTCACTTTACTGACAATAATACATTGTGCTTCTTTTGTAGCTTGTACACGTGCGTTTGCTTCCGTCGACGTGAATGGGCGGGGATATATCTCACGTGACCAGATGATATTAGCTCTACGAATATTGAATTTCAACCCAATAGATAGTGAAGTCGAGGACATGCTACATGAAAACGAAAGTCAAAGTAATAAACTAAAGTTTTTCTTCTATACATTCAGTAGTAAAAGTGTTTTCGCTGTATACATTCGATAACAATATGCGTCTCGTATTTGAATAATCAAAGAAGACGGCCACGTGAACTCATAAGTAAGACCTTTATGGGGTTATATCAATTTGACATATTTACAAAAAGCAGTTAAAAAGGAGACTATGGCCCATTTTTTTCTTAATTACTTAATAATTTTAGTTGCTTTTGTGTTAGATAAACTTAAATGAATGCAATTTCCAAATTTCCGAGTTTGAAATATCTCTACATACTGTACAGATAAACAGCCTAACATATGCCATTTCCTTTTTCGTATTTTGTTGTTAAAGCATAATTAACGAGTTGTTAGCGATATATAAACTAAAAAAAAGTAATATATTTGTTGTTACTTATGTCTAATATTTTCTGCATCTGCTACACCTCGGATAAAACCTTCATATACTGTACTTGTATATTAAGAACAGTACGTCACTGGCATTGTCAATCATTATTATTGCAAAAGGTTTTTTCTCATTATCATTTCACAAAGCAAAACGTATATACTTTTGTTATTTTTAACGTATATAGGTTTCACATACGAGGAGTTCGTTAACTTTGTATCTAGAATGAGACTACCTTCTTTGGAAGAACAGAAGATGGATCTTAGGGAAGCATTTGCACTTTTTGACAGGATGAACACAGGTTTGTTAGTAGTATTACATAAAATTAGATAAAATACGGAGGAATGACATGGATATAAATGACAAATTTGCGTCCCGATGTCTCAACAATTTGTAAATTACTTAGCACATTGGATCCCAATCTCTAGTAAAAATTTTAAAGCCTATTGAGCACATTCGGTTCCTATCTCTAGGTAATATTTTAAAACCTATAGAGCATCTCTAGGGACCATTTTAAAGAATTTATAGAGCACATTTGATCTCCATCTCTATCCTATATAGCGCATTGTGTCGCTATCTGTAGTGAACATTTTAAAGCCTATAAGGAGCACGTTGGGTCCCTATTTGTAGTAACATTTTAAAGCATATAGAGCAGATTGGGTTAATATCTCTAGCCCAAAAATAAATGTTTTCATTTTAGCTAATTTATGTTGTTAATTTCTTCATTATGATTACACTCTTTTCATTTATTTCTTTAAGGATTCATCTTAAAAGATGAATTTATTGAAATTCTCACACAATGTGGTGAGATGAAGATTGACGAAAAAGAAGCAATGTCTTGGGCTGAAATGCTAGATCTTCACAAAGATGGCAAGTTAAGAATCTCTGGTATGTATTTTGACGATATTTTATAATTGTGTTGGTGCGAGCTCATATGTTTCAAGTAAATACAGAAGTCCTTAAATTCTGTTTCGATCAATTACTAGTGATTGTCAAATGCATTCAGTGGTACATGGCATTCTAATCACCCGAATTATATATAGCTGCGGTCTCACTTACTCCCGGCAGAGCCCAGGACCATCCCGGTAAGTTACCGGGATGATCCGGGACGATCCGGGGTGAAATTATTGTTGCGGTCACACTTAGGCCGCTATTCCATTTATACGTGATCAGTGGTCCGCGTCCGTCATCCGCATCCGTTACCGATTCGTTAATCAAAGAATACGTTGAATCTATTCCTTTTGTCTGTTTACCATCCGCTTCCGCGACGGCATCCGCGATGTTTCGCAGGATGAGCGATTTTTTACGGACGCGGACAGTCACTGACATGTCTCATCCCTACAAAATGCCTCGAACGAAATTAAATACTTTATCGATTTCAAAAGAAAATACTAAAGAAGTCACCAAAAAAGTGGAGGAGAACATGTAAGTTTATGATGCAGCAATGACAGGAAAAAAAACCATCTGGTCATCGGTTGCTAAAGAGATGTTATTTGAAAACCTAACTGATATTCAATGTTTGTTACCTAATTCTTTGATGTTACAACTGTTTTTGGTATTAGAATGAAATTATATCATATTCTACAAATAATTATCCTCTGTTCGCTATACTTCAATTAAAAGTATATAGAAAATAACGTACCTATGGAATAATACCCACGGACATGCCCGGACACGGATCACTGACGCGGGTCACGGATCACGTACTAATGGAATAGCGGCCTATTACCCCGGCAGCACTACGGTAGTTCCCAACTAACCACCCAGGATGCGCTCCGGATCATCCAGGCAGAGCCCAGGTGAAGCTACGGTTCATGCCGGTGCTCTACCGTAGCTCTACCGTACCTCTACCGGCTCTATCATACCCCGGATCATCCCCGGTTTGTGCCGGCAGAGCTACTGTGCTTCCCCGGTATAACCCCGGTCGTTCCCGGCAGAGCTAAGGATGAAGCCGGCAAAGCTATACCTTCCCGGATCATCCCGGACCACCCCGGTGATATTAAATATTTTATTCCATCCGGGGTCGAATGCCGGATGTTCCCGGATCATCCCGGACGTTGCCGGCAGAGTTACGGATGTACTCCGGTTGTTCCCGGTCGTACCCCGGTCGTTCCCGGATCACCCCGGACGTCTACCGGGGCTCTGCCGGGGCTCTGCCGGGATGTAAGTGAGATTAAGGCTCAGAACAAGAAGGAAATTTCACCTTCTAAATTCAATAAAGCTTTTAAGTGATTATAAAGATTAAAGAAACATTTATTTAATCAAATTCACGTGACTTTAATATTTTGATGCAAACATGTTTGCCAACGATTGTAGCAGGACAAAACGATTTTAAATTACAATACAATACAATATATTGAATATAATACTAATACCAATATCAATACCAATACCAATACAATACAATACAATACAATACCAATACCAATACCAATACCAATACAACACGACACAACACAACACAACACAACACAATACAATGCAATACAATGTCATGCCAATAATGCCATGCCAATAATGCCATGCCTTACCGTACCGTACCGTACCGTACCGTACCGTACCGTACCATACCATACCATACCATAGGAATTATACATACTGGTCGGAGAGATAACTCCGACGCATAGATAACCCCGACACTTGATAAATATAATTGTTATAGCTTTGTTTTTCAACAAACAAGCACATGATCACCTAATATTATAGGAACAGGACAGAATGTGATGATTTGTTATAATTTGGTAAACTTTTTAATGTTTTTCAAATAACCTTAACTTTTTGAAGGCGAAAACTGCTTCAGAATGTTATTTTTACTAAATTATATTAAGGTAGTTAGAAATGTATTGACCACATGCCACTGACTTGGGAAAGATTTTTTTTTTTAAATATTAAAAAAAAATAGATAAACCATATAAGATGTAAAAATAAATTATTGATGCTGATTTTCCTGTCATTTTTTACTTAAAAATTTAAGTGTCGACTTTATCTACTGTTGTGGGGTACAAAGACCATGTTTTGTGTACCTCATTCAAGACCTTAAAGAAGTACCAGATTCCATTTTCATACATATTTTTTGTAGTGTAATGTAAAATCTTTGAACTGAACTTTGTTAAGGTGGTTTAATTTTAAATTATACTGGAAGATAATTAAAATATTGCAAAAATATGTGATTTAGTGTCGGAGTTATCTCTCCAACCAGTAAAGCAAACATTATTTAGGTATATTGCTACAAATTTAGTTGCGAATGCATGTTATTATCTTGATCATTTCAGAACTAGAAGAATTATTCGTGAATGATGAAGACGCTCAGAGCATATTAAACTCCCAATCCTGGGAGTCAGTGTAAACACAATATCGAATACAACATAAAGGAGGACAATAGAACAAAGTTCAACTTCTAATTCTGTAAAACAATGTGACACAACAGTGTAATTTATAATATAAATATTAAACAAATACAGAATATATTTTGTACATGTCTTTCATTATTATCTCTTTATGTATGTACATACTGTGCAACACTATTTAAAACAGTAACACACAAATACACATATATGTAAGAAAACAACAAATTAACAAACATATCAGGAAACAGTGTAGTACAATTTTTCATATTTTCAAAGACGTACTTTAGTGGTTCGCAGGGTCATACTTCATGCATTACACGATTCTAAAAGCCGTCTCTTTTTTCGTCTCCATATCTATCAAAATGTACATGTCAAGACAAAGAGAAGAAGATTTACAGATTGAATTATAAGTTGATTTAATACACATTATGAACGGGTGATACTTTACACATTTGCTCACAAAAAACAACAACAACAGCATCTTTTGTCAAGCCTATTTTAAATGAGATTTTACATATAGCAAACAAACGCGTATATGTGGATAATACGTAGACTTTTCTTAATATCTAAATGGCTCTTGTTTTCACATATCATTGGAAAACGAATGATTGGACACAATATGATATATTAACGTTATTTTTATTTACATACAAAACAATACAACACTTAACTAAACATGAATGTATATTGAGTATAAAAATGTCAAGAAATAAATGCTTACATAATAAAATTACACAATAAAACTGCCAAAAAATCTGCTTTAATAATTATTTTTCACAATATATAAAGTAAGAATTTAATATACATGTATCTTACTAAATTTAAAACTGAGCAATTGACAGTTTTGTTATCATTTGTATTTAATTTAATTTGGAAACAAAATTTTGAAGTTTCAAATTAAGGTGACATTCTTCTGTACTGCAACTATGGTTTGCATTAATATCAACAATTCTGTTTGCTTATGAATAAAATAACAATCAAATATTCTAATAATGCCTGATGAAGCTTAAAAATTGCATAAGTAGAATACGGTTGTTATGTTAATAAATGCACTGAGACAGAATTTATGAATAAAACATTTATTAAGGCGGTAAACTACGTTAACAAAAACTCTTATAAAGAAGAGTCATGTATATAAACGGGATAACAGACCGGATTATTTTTATGTAGAATGAATTGTCTCAAGGACTAATACGGCGAAGACCTTTTATTCAATTCCTTTGATTTCCGAGATGATTACTCCTCATGCGTGTTCCGAATGCAACTTGCTCATCAGCAGTTAGACTGAAACCTTAAGGGACGATGATTTGAACGTAAAACTTGATATATTTCGTAAATTCTCTTAATCTATTTAGCTTTGTTTATACATGGGTACAGATATATCATGGTATCAAATAAATAAATGACTTTATCTGGTGGCTTATGGGAGGCAACTCTTCTCAGCATGTAGGTTGTTCTGACCGCGCAGAAGTAACGTCATTAACAACTACGTCATCAAGAAAAAACAACGTGGATTCTTTTTTCTCTCTTTCGGCGAAGCAGGTGTTATGTTTGTAAGAGCTCTTACAAAAAGCTTTGACAACCATCCATCCCTTCCCTGTTTTCCAAGATCACATAAATATTATTATGTATATGTTAGTGTTCATCCGTGCTGTTCTACAGAAATTAGAAACTTCGACGGGAGCGATAGCGACAGGAGAATGTTTCTAATTTCTGTAGAACAGCTAAGGATGAATACTAACATATTTAGTGTCAAACTTTATCACTCACTTATTACGTCACTATGCCGTTCTGGATGAAGATATGAAGTACTATGAAAAATAGAAGGCGACTATGAACGTAATTCGATATAGTATTTTTGTTCTTCTATGAAAATTAACGCACAAAATTTTTAAAAAATACAGCGTTTTCATTGGATGACAAATAAAGTTGGACACTAAGCATGTATAGATTTGAAACATTTGCTGCGCTCTGGTTTTGTTATTTTCCAGGAGGAGAAAGTTAAGTATAAAATCGACCAAACTACCAATGTAAGAAATCGGTATGACTGACTGCGTTACTTGCCAATTTGTGATAAATAGAGCTATAACATATGAACTAAATTGCTAAATTTGGTGTCTACATTTGCATGTGTTTAAAATCTAGTAAGTGATCATAGCATGGAAAGTACCGTTTGATCTGTAGCATTTAAGCTAATAATTGTTTTTTGAAAATTTGAAATATATGTATAAGACGGACACTAGCTGATTAAAAAGGTCATAGCGGGATTTCTAGTGCTTATTTTATCAATTTGTAAAGCCTTAATATCAAGAATTATGATCAATTATATTTGTATTTGCCATATTGCTACTTGCATTTGTTAAGTAAAAAGTGTAAAATTACATTTTAATTAACAGTCTGTCTGAGCCAAACCACATGCCAAACTTACGAACAATATTTAAAAAAGAAATAGAATTAAGAAATTTGAAATGTTACATTTGCCAATTCCTTTATTAGGATAATAATATCTGGATAAATTTATATTAAAAATTATGATAATTGTTCAGCTGTTTATGCAATAGTATGTGCGAGAGCATGCATATATAAATAATCTGCAGGTTTAACGCATACATCTGTTGAATTAACATTCCTACCCTGCTGTATTGAAAACTATTCGAAATTATGACATTGTATCACACGACCTTTATCAGTTAATATTCTTATTCACGGGGGAGGAAGTGTTACACGAAGGATGGAGTTCTTATGATAACTTGTTCAGGAGTTCTTGTGATAACTGTCACGGAGTTCGTAGGAAAACATCTGTATATACTACAAAAACACTCGTCAAAAATGGTTATTTTCATCTTTCCAAAATGAGTTTATGGTGCTAAATTAAACTTTAATGATTAAGCTTGTCTTACATCTTGTATTATGTGTCAAAAACTAATTCACAGGCTAATTTTCATCGCCTCTTGCTTCTAATCTGGTAGTTTTGAGTAAAATTTCCAAATTACTTGCCAATTCACAAGTTTTGACCGGTTTATTTCTGGCATTCATCCTTTCCATACATAATTACCTATTTATAATGCAAAATTGCAAATATAAAGCACCGGCTTACAGATTTATACCCGATTTTTCAAATGTCCCGGAGTTCTTGTGATAACTCTGAAGATGTCACAGAGTTCTTATGATAACTTTTGTTATTGCTAGTGTGTTTCTTTGGCTAAATCACGGCACGTTTTGGCGTTTATTATCATTCAATAAGATTGTAAATCATTATGAAATGCAGTACGATCATCCTTTGCACAAAAAATGTGGATAAAACGTTGGTCTCAAGTGTCTGCAAAGGATAAATAGGTGATAGGCTATCATCTACAGTAAAATTGAACCAGCAGCCATTGATATTCAGCAGTATAATGGCTTAAACAACAAAACAAAAATGTCTCAAAACGTACACGTTGTTCTCAGTTTCACATGTTTTAAGCAACCACCTTTCTTAAGCAGACAATATATAGGCATGCCTCCCTTACCTAAAGGCTAAGTAATTTGTATCATTTTATACCATAATAAATAAGTATATAACCAGGATAATTTCCACACCTATGTCTTTAAAAAAGTACGATACATGATAAAAACTCAACTGCGGTTGACTCTAACTACCAATCTCTCGAAAAAAATTGAACTGTCCCTCCAGGTTCCAGATTTACCTAGAATGGGATTTCAGTTATTGTGCATGGGCATTCAAACTATAATTCCCCAGGTGTTGCTTGTAAGTGTCGCAAGTTCTCTAATGTAACTTAAAACAACAGACAAAACTCTGAAACATATTAATCAGTGTACTATTATAACTGCTGTATTACATAGAAAACAAATGTTTCTCTGATTGATGCAGTAACATAGATGCTGTACTGAGAAAAAATAGACTGTATGCCTGGATGAAAATGATAAAGGGCCAGAAACCTGCTAGGGGCCGGAAACTGCAAGGAAACCAGTACATAAATCATTTTTCAAGTCTACGAAATCTAAGTCAAACAAAAAAGAATACTATGAAAAAGAAACAGGGGGAAAGAAAAAATATCTCTTGAACTAAAATTCACTCAAAACCAACGTTATATATCCTATTTTTTGCGCAAAGGATGAGCGTACTACATGTCATAATGATTTACAATCTCAATGAATAATTAAAAACGCTAAAACGTGCCGTGATTTAGCGCAAGGAACACACTTGCAATAACAAAAGTTATCATAAGAACTCTGTGACATTTCAGAGTTATCACAAGAACTCCGGGACATTTGAAAAATCGGCTATAAATCTGTTAGCCGATGCTTTATGTTTGCAATTTTGCATTATAATTAGGTAATTATGTATGGAAAGGATGAAGACCAGAAATAAACAGGTCAATACTTGTGAATTGGCAAATAATTTGGAAATTTTACTCAAAACTACCAGATTTGAAGCAAGAGGCGATTAAAAATGGCCTGTGAATTAGTTTTTGACACATAATACAAGATGTAAGACAATCTTAATCATTAAAGTTTAATTTAGCACCTAAAACTCTTTTTAGAAAAATGAAAATAACCATTTTAACGAGTGTTTTTGTAGTATATACAGATGTTTTCCTACGAACTCCGTGACAGTTATCACAAGAACTCCTGAACAAGTTATCATAAGAACTCCATCCTTCGTGTAACACTTCCTCCCCCGTGTTATTTATCTGTTAAAAAAGAGCCACTTGTAAAGTAACCGATTTGCGCAATGTTCAATATTTCGCATCGCCTTATGTCGTATTCTTGACCTTTCTTATTTATCGCTTTGCAATATGATAAAAAGTATAAGTGGTACATTTTAGACACCATACTTAAGTCTACCCAGATAACCAGCGTTTGCATTGATGCACATTAAATTTGTATGCTTTAAGATGCGAGATATGAGAAAATGTCAGACGAAGACTCAAGGCCTGTAGTTTATTGTTGCACGATTAAACAGTATCGCGAGGATTATCTTTTACAAAATGCTGATATAAAGTTAATAGTGCTTACAATAATCACGCTGAATGATGGTTCATGTAAGTAATTTTGTATATAATTGTGAAAAGTATTATATTAACATACTTCTTACTAATGTACATGGTTTATGTTATATTTTACCCTGTTTGAGGACACGTGCACTGTTGCAAGATAACTAGACGTTAAGTTTATGCTCTATAAAGCTCTTTCAAAATCATTTTTATTTTGACACTTCGAAATTTGTGAAGTTAGCAGTCTAGCAGCCTGGCAGCCTAGCAGCCTAAAGAAAACTAAGGATAGTACAAACATGAAAACCGTCGGAAATGAATCGGTAGCACATACTTAGACTATTTCACGTCTTATTCCAATATCGCGGTCCTTATTTAAACAAGAGGGCCATAATGGCCCTGAAATCGATCACCTGTATATAGGTCCCCGGGTCGGGGCCAATTTTAACCCAGCGGCTTTTATTTGAACAAACTTGTTAGATGTTTGAAGATGTTTCATGATAAATATCTAAGCTTTAGCTGTAGAAGATTTTTTAAGTTTTTACAGAAAAACAATGACCCCCTCTGGGCGGGGGCCAATTTTGTCCCCAAGGGCTTTTATTTGAACAAAATTGGTAGACACTCACTAGAAGATAGTTCATGCTTAATATCTAAACTCTAGCTCTTTGGGTTTTTTAAAAGAAGATTTTTTAAAGATTTTACTATATACATATAAGGAAAATCAATGATCCATGGGGCGGGGCCAATTTTATTCCCAAGGGCCCTTATTTGAACAATAAATGGTAGACACCCATTAGAAGATGTTTCATGCTAAATATCTTAGCTCCAGCTCCTAGGGTTTTTTAAAAGAATTTTTTTAAGTATTTACTATATACATAAAGGGCTGCTAGGCTGCTAACTGCGTCAAAATAAAAAAAACACAAAGTTCAATATTAATAGATACTGAAATAAGACGTGGAAAGGTCTAAGTATGTGCTACCGATTCATTTCCGACGGTTTTCATATTTGTATTATCCTTAGTTTTCTTTAGGCTATTAGGCTGCTAGGCTGCCAACTTCAGGCTGCTACGCTGCTACGCTGCCAACTTCACGAACATCATTGATCCATATATCAAGTTTCATAAAAATATTGTCAGTACTATGTGCATTTATTACGGGATCTATTATTTGATCTATTTTTGCGAACGGATAGACTGACTGGCGGATAGACTGAAAGGAGGGAAAACCTAAAGTTCCCTTCAACTTAACCGGCAAGGGGACTAACAAAGTGATTCTAAAATGAAAGTCACATAATGAAAAGGAGAAGAAAGGGTTACTTTTTATTTCATTTCGTAGGGAAAGTGCTCGAACTTGAAGACAAGGTGTACGCTAGCCAGATAAAAGTTATGTTTACAGACCTGTCTGTATTAGCCAGATATAGGGAAAACTTGGTCAACCTGAGATGGGCACATACTGCTGCAAATGGTAAGTTGATAACGAAAAGAGTGTTTGACGATGATGTATTTGTCGAGCCAGCCAACGTTAAATTACACCTTCTTCGACGAAGTTGTCTAAAGTCAATCAGTTTGTACTTTATTTTATACTGTATACAGATCAAACATATATTTAGTTTGTACCTAATTTTGGCAAATAAAGCTCCAAATCAAACGAAATGTAAAAAATATCTTCTAACCAACCCTGAGGAAATGTTCATTACAGTAATTTTATTGTTAACACATGATTTGTATTAACTAAAATAACGGTTTTGTTGGTACAATTGCAGGCGTCGATGTCTTTATGAAAGCACTTCGAAAAGATGAGGTAGACATTATTCAATTATAATTTTGATAATATAGTCACGTTACTAAAATTTATACATGTTTAAAACATGATATACAGTGTAATGTTTCATATTAAACCAACTAGCATATTTAACTGATGTACACTTTAAGTGTTTGTTAGCAATATCTGGCGACGTTTTTACGTTTTTTAGTATTTTACGTTTTTTGGTAATTCAAGATGAAATAATTAATAAACTATTGCCGATCAATATACTGCATAGTTTAATAAGCCATTTTGGCTGATTTACGTTATCTATATATTTGTATTAGCCTTTCCCAAACTTCAAACTAACAAAGACTCCTGGAGCCCTGAATGCATCTCAAATAACAGAATATGTTATAGGCCATATTATAGCTTATGAGAGGAAACTATTTGAAGCAAAGGAAGCACAAGACAAGAACAAATGGAACAGGTATTTCAAAATAATTATGCCATTTTATGTTATTTAACTATATGAGCCGCGTCACGACAAAACCAACATAATGGGTTTGCGACCAGCATGGATCCAGACCAGCCTGCGCATCCGCGGAGTCTGATCAGGATCCATGCTGTTCGCTTATAAACCCTATTACAAGCTATAGAGAAACTGATAGCGAACAGCAAGGATCCTAATCAGACTGGTCTGGATCCATGCTGGTCGCAAACCCATTATGTTGGTTTTGTCATGACACTGCTCATTTGTTAATGAGATGTTGAAATTTTATTTAAACAAGCTGTCTGTACCATTTACAAAATTTATCAGTGATTATTATTTCTCATCAGATTATAAAACAATATGAGTACATCAATAGTAGGAGTTTATTAACTTCTCATGAAACAAATTTGAGAATACGAGTATGTATTTGATAAGGTACTTATCAAAAACCTGTCACTAAGTATGGTAGACTTATTAACTCACTTTAAATCCGATAATGTGTATGTATGTGTACATTTTCATATTTTAGTCTTAGACCTTCTTTTTCGTTAAATTAGAATACCTAAATTTGAACATTTCTGAATGTCTATTTCCCATAAATTGTCTACAATATTTTGTTTATAAACATACTTTCATGTGGACAAAGTGCGTACAGGACAACGACTGACCAAGTCGTACTGTATTCTATTTTCCCCAGTTTATATCATTCAATTGTCTTCCTTTCAGTGTCTAACTGTTGCCAACTTTATTTTGTATTTTATGTGGTAAAAAGTCGTTTTCGATGGCAAGATTAAGCTCTAAAAGGAATGTGGTCTCTAAACTAAAATTCCTTAACAAAAAAGTGAAATATTATATGTGAAACCACCTATCTTTAAATTTAGTAAATTCGACATATTTTGTTTAAGCTGATCTTTTACAAAATGAATCTGGTAATTAATTGTCATTTTGAAAAAAACAATAACCACTACCAACACCACCAACATCAACAATAATTGTACACACAGAAAAAAGCAACAACAAATATTATAACGTCTATTCTTACCTTAAAAATGTACCAATATTTTAACGTATTTTCTTACCTTAACAAAATGTACCAGTATTTGAACGTATATTCTTACCTTAACAAAATGTACCAGTATTTTAACGTATATTCTTACCTTAACAAAATGTATCAGTATTTGAACGTATACTCTTACCTTAACAAAATGTACCAATATTTGAACGTATATTCTAACCTTAACAAAATGTACCAATATTTGAACATATATTCGTACCTTAACAAAATGTACCAGTATTTGAACGTATACTCTTATCCGTACAAAATGTACCAGTATTTGAACGTATATTCTTACCTTAACAAAATGTACCAATATTTGAACGTATATTCTTACCTTAACAAAATGTACCAGTATTTTAACGTATACTCTTATCCGTACAAAATGTACCAGTATTTGAACGTATATTCTTACCTTAACAAAATGTACCAGTATTTTAACGTATATTCTTATCCGTACAAAATGTACCAGTATTTGAACGTTTATTCCTACCTTAACAAAATGTACCAGTATTTTAACGTATATTCTTATCCGTACAAAATGTACCAGTATTTGAACGTAATTCTTATCATAACAAAACGTACCAATATTTTAACGTATACTCTCATCCTAACAAAGCGTACCAATATATTTCTAAACGTTATATTTTCAGAGACATATATACTAACAGTCGCTACATACCATCTCTAACAATAGGAATTCTCGGAATCGGGCAAATTGGACAACATCGTACGCAAACTGTTAACTCCATGACATTTTCAGTATATATATTTACATAATTCATATGATAATAATGAAGTTTTGCTTATTTATTTAATGTAACGTTTTTTTACAAATAAAGGTACAAATCTATTATAAGATTACTACGAATTAGATAACAGTTTAACTACGAAATATTTTTGATTACAGTTGCCAAAATATGTAAGGGATTCGGACTCACAGTATGGGGTCTTTCACGAAGGGAATCTTCGCCAGAAAACAGATGTGCATATGTGGACGTATTTAGGTAAAGTCCGCCTGATTCTAAAGAAAAAATATATTTTATTTAGAAACTATTAATTTAATTAATTTAAAAGTCAATGAAACCCCTAAAATGACAAAACTTTTGAATCTCAAAACCTTTTTTAGAGGTTGGGTTTTAATGTGGTACAAGCGCAGTATTAGTCTTATGGCGACTTTCTAGCTTTACTGGTGGGGGAAGACCTTAGATGACCCTTCGTGCATTATTTCAGGCACGAGTGCTTCCAAAGGATTACACATTGACCATATAACCGGAACATCCTTTGCTCCTTTTGCATTTTGGTATAAATTACAGTTATCGTGAATAGGTATTTTGTATTGTCAATACTATGTTTACATGTGACTACTCTGAAGGCATTTTTCACATACATCACTACTTTCTTCAGGTTATTATCGGTAAACATGCTCTTTGCGAACATATCAAAATAGGTTAAACCACTTGCTTACTCTTTCTAAAGAAGAAAAAAAAATGATACAATGATTTCTGAAGGTTAAGGAGTCTTTAAAAAGGATTATATAAGTATATTGTCATAACTGCTTGATAAATACAATCAATCAATCAAGCAAACAAACACTGAATTCTAGTTGAAATATCAGCAACAGCCTAGAATGGCTAGTACATCATTGCTGTAAGCTATCTTTACATTATGAACAGGACCACAGAACGACTCAATGATCTGCTAGAAAACTGTGATTATATTTGCAATGTTTTACCAAGTACACCAGAGACCAGAGATTTGCTGTCTGGAGATGTGTTGAAAGCCTGCAGCTGTAAGGTATGCTCGTCGATACTTCCAACAATTGTTGAATATATTCTATTTTGCTTAAAGCGCCGGAATGTAGCTGGGCCTTTTGCTAGGTGTCCTAATTTTTGTTTACATACAAGAAAAGTTAGCCATGGAGGTATGTCGTTTGTATTGTTTAAACGTGTTTCAGCAATTAAATGTAACATTGTTGAATATTTTCCATTTTGCTAAAAGCATGAAGTGTGAAAAAGGCTTTTTGCTAGATGTACCTTGATTTTTGTCTAAGTTTAAGGTTAGTAAGCCGTAAAGGTTTTGATTAAGTCGACTCAATTGCAAAAAGTAAATAAGACATTTTAACTCGTCAAACAAAAAAAAAAACATATCTATTTTTTTTTGTATTTCAGAAAAGTATTTTCATCAATGTTGGACGTGGAGATGTAATTGATGAACAAAGTATTGTCAATGCAATAAAGTATGATTCCAATCAGTTTCTTATTTAGTATCTTACTTTTATTTCAGTTCTTTTATCGCTTTAACAACTTGGTAATAGCGTTAACATTGACCAATTACTAAGAAAAGTAGATAAATACTGAGCCATAATCTGCTGGGACATTGGCTATCGGTAGGGGACTGGGCCAGTCTGTGCATTTGCGCAATGTAAAGCCAGATCAGTTATTGTTTTTACTTTAAAAAATTGAAATCGTGGCCATTCTAAATTCAAAGCATAGCAAATCCATTAAACAAATTAAGTAGGTTAAATTCTAATGATGCAGTAATGTTTTTCAATTGAAACATTCTCGTTGAAAATCGTAAATATTTCTAAACATAATTTCAGGAACGGATGGCTCAGTGGAGCAGTGCTAGATGTTTTTCGCGAGGAACCGTTGCCTTCTTCTAGCCCCTTTTGGAACCTTCCGGGGGTAATAGTAACGCCACATGTATCCGGTTGGTCAGAAGCTGTATCAGTATGTTTAAAATTGCTCTTATTGTTTACTTATTTCATTGTGTTTATCAAGTAACGCAGAAATGTGAAAATAACGTAGGAATTTGTGAAAAAGAAACGCCGTAGCATTGCACATATATGGCTGTAACGAGTATCTATGGTGGCTGATTTGTGTCATATAGTATTTTCGCTCCGTGATGCTCCGGACGTAAACACAAAAATATGACAGTCAACATTTTGTCGTACTTTTGCCACCCTTAAAATACGACATGGTACAAGTCAGCCACCATAAGTATCACGGAAGATTAACGGATAAAAAATATTTTACATAAATCAAATGAAAAGAATGATATATTTGCACATATTCTACGTTATCAGCAAAATTCATGCATAATTTTGACGGTAAATTTGCATATTTTTGCATTTGGTGAAATTTGGTGTTTATTTTATACATACAGAATGATTTTAGCACTTTGATAGTTTTTAAAGGTTGAGATTAAATAACATAAAGGAAGATTTGTGATTCATTTGTACTTAAAATATTAAAAACAATCGAAAGTTTTACTTGTTATTTTTTTCAAAATGAAAAAAATAATGAAATATTCAATATCATATTAAAAAATCAACTAAGTTCAGTAATTTGGAAATGCATTATTATAATTAAGTAATATTTTTCTTTTATTAGTACACCAAGAAGATAACAGACTTCTTTATTGACAATTACCAGCGTTACACAGAAGGGTTGCCTTTGAAAGGAGTACTTGATTGGTCACAAGGTTATTGACACTGTAAACGGAAACGTTGTTGTTTATACATCATAGTTTTACTGTGCTTGATGAAAAGAAACACTGCAATTGGAAATAACATACATGTTTATCTATGCAAAATAACAAACATTGCTATTGAAAATTATACATATTATTGCAAAAATAATAACAAACATGCAATTGAAAATTACATATATTCATGCAATATAAAAAGAAACGCAGTAATTGGAAACATGTACATGAAGTTGGCGACTGACCGTTTATTCCGGCAATGTTTGATCTTTAACATTATGTTGCATATAAAATAAGGATCGCGTCTTTGATGTTCATTGACATATGTCTTTGCTTAATTTGTACATTTTTTGCATATAAATGTCTTTAACATTGAAACATATTCCGTGTTACTATTTACTGTAGTATTTAGATATGTACAGATTTATTACATTTGTAGTTGAGAAAATATTAAGCTATGCTGACACTTTGTTTTAGAAAAGATTTTGCCTTTAACGTTGTGAAAGATTTAAAATAAAAGAGATGCTAATGCATTTTTTGCGCTGACTTCTTTGTGATTGCTTAGACTTTACCGGTATTTCATGTTTGAAGTATGGACCTAATTTCATGATTGAAGTTTATATACACTATGGTTAGGATAATATGTTTCTGTTATTATATTTTTGTAAACCTTTAAACTATAATTTTTTAAACTTTTATTTCATAGGCAATTTATTATGAAATATGTTTGATTGCTTTTTTATGATAAAGGACAAGAAATAATCAATATTGTTTTTCATCAGAATTAATGCCGATATCCTGAGAAGTATCGTCACTTTTGCAAGCATTTTAGAGAGACCCCATCTCCAAATAAAGTCCTGAATCAGCACTAAGTACAGGTACAATCGCATGAAGTTTGCCATGCAAAGTGTATCAAGGTAATGTATGCCGATCTAAAATGTAGTAACCCAGTATAGGTGCCTTTTCTTTGACTTACTTTGTCTCCTTTTCCTACTTGAAAATGCAACTTTAAAAATATATTTTTGGCAGGAAAGGTCAAGTGACATCCATCTGCTTAAATATAGCACGAAATCACAAATAGCAATAGCAGTGTCAAAATTCGTCATTAAACTTGATCACGTGATATCGTTTGCAAAGCCATGTATATGTCTGGTCTGGATTACCTTCCCTTTGTAAACACAAAATATTTACAATAGATGCTGGGAACCAGACTATGCTGAGTCACATCAAAATGGAAACAAAAATATGCCACATTCGCGAATGCGATTTTGTACACTATTGTGGCTATAATGAAAAAGTGTGTCACGACCTTTCATATACTGTATGTTTATGAAACATATGTTGACCCATATTTTAAATCTACTTCTAAAAATAAAGAAACTTTACGTTGATGTGTTATCTGAAAACATCAAAGATAACATCGTTAAATGTTTAATATTTTGATACAAACATTTAAGTATTTTCCTCATAGTAACAGTTGTTTTACCAGTTGATTTTATCAGGCCAATTAAACGCTGATAAAATGTGAATCTGAAGGAAAATATTTCTTACAAACAAGCAGTTGTAAAAATAGTTTTATAATATAAAATTGATTGTTTTGGAGTTTCAACAAATTAATCACATGAATATTTACGTAGCAACATTTTTAGAAAAACTAGGATCCCAACTGGCCTATCTTGTTCCTAAAGAGAACTCTCTGATACATCTAAAATGACAAAACTGACTTCTACACAATGTAAGTTGCTATTTTATTACGTTAGACCTATAGAATATTCACATAGTTATTAAGCAAGGATTAATCTTGTTAAGCATACATATGTTATATACATGATTAGATAAAGAAAATATTTCTTTAGTTGCATTGACTTTTGTCAGGTTTGGTTACAGGGAATCTTGTCAGGTTTGGGTCACAAGGGACTTTATAAAGTTTAGTTACAGGGGATGTTGTCAAATTAAGTTGCAGGGAATTTGGTCAGGTTTGGTTACAGATGATTTTGTAAGGTTTGCTTACAGGGGATTTTGTCAGGTTTGGTTACAGGGGATTTTGTTAGGTTTGGTTACAGGGGATTTTGTCCGGTTTGGTTATTAAGGATTTTGTAAGGTTTGGTTACACATGATTTTGTTAGGTTTGGTTACTGAGGATTTTGTCAAATTTGGTTCCGGTGGATTTTGTTAGGTTTGGTTACTGTGGATTTTGTCAGGTTTTGTTACTGAGGATTTTGTAAGGTTTGGTAACAGGCAATTTAATAGTTTGGTTACTGGGATTTTTTTCAGGTTTAGTTGCAGGGGATTTTGCCAGGTTTGGTTATAGATGATTTTGTTAGGCTTGATTACAGGGGATTTTGTCAAGTTTGGTTACAGGGGATTTTGTCAAATTTTGTAACAAGGGGCTTTTTATCTCTTAATAGCTTATTACATTGAGCACTGTTTTTCTTCAGGTGATTATTATCTAAAATACTCTAAATCAATCATTACAACAATTAAAATGACATGCTTACACTTTCTAATAAAGACACGATATACATGTATATAAGTTCTGAGGCTTAATATGCTATTAAACATTTCTAAACACTTCTTATTAAGAAATAAGTAAGCATATCTACATGCCATTAAAACGGGTGGCAAACGCTTCTATAAGATTCATAAATAAGATGTGTTAGTTTTTTTTTTATTTATTCTAGATGAAGTTCCTGAGCTTGAAGACAAGGTTTTTGCAAGCAAGATAGAAGTTATGTTTGTAGATATACCAGTGTTAGCAAAATATAGGACGAATCTGGTCAATCTAAAATGGGCACACACCGCATGGAATGGTTCGTCATTTACTTTGTATAACACTTGATGTGATGTGTTTCCATTACAGATTCAACTGCGATACTCTGCTAATATATAATCATTTGAAGAAGTAGGAAAAGAATAGCAAGATCTTAAGCAATACCTTTTTAATAATAATCTAACTTCGATTTCATATAAAATCTAAACCATAACATAAATATTTCATTTATATCTTTTTATTTTTATAAATGTATCTTTGATAAAATAATGGTATTCTTTGTCTTTTCTAATTAAAAAATATTTTATTGTAGAAGAAATTTCCGTCGCGTTTGTGACAGTGTTAGACAATTAATTGATTTCTCATTTCTTCCAGGAGTGGATATTTTAATGAAAACATTTGAAAAGGATGAGGTAAAAGCTAACATACATTAAGTACATTCCTCATGTAAGCGTTAAATAGCTACAGATTCAGTGTAAATTTCCAAGCATTCAACATAACAAATACGAATCATGAAAAATACAAAGACCAAAGCAGTAATTATTTTATATTCGTAAGTTGAAAAAACGCTTGTGTCGTTCCGAACAAATCACTGTTTGCAATCTTCCTTTGGAATTATATGTATACGTTTATTTTTTCAGCCGCTACCAAACTTTATTCTTACTAAAACTCCGGGCTCCCTGAATGCAGAGCACATTACAGAGTATGTGATCGGTTATATTATAGCCAAAGAGAGGCTTTTCTTCCAAGCCAAGGAGTCGCAGCAAAAGTCTAAATGGGAACAGTAAGATTTAGTTTGTTCCTCACATTGTAATTTTATTTTCATATCTAACGCAATCATCAAAACAGAATTATAATTTATATTTTTGCTCAACAGAATAAGCTTCTTTTCTTTGAGGATTACTAAATGTTTGTTTCCGAATATTTTTATCTATTTGCCACTCTATGTTTTATGTTATATAGTATTGAATGACCGACTCCTTATGCCAAGCCTTTGACTTAATCTAACAGTTCTATTTGACACTTTCTGATTGTCTATTTCCTATAAACTGTGTACATTTAAAAGTCGCTTTTACCGGAATCGACGAAAAGTATGCCAACCACCATTCAGACGCTCATTAAAGATAAAAGCTTTATTCACATAGGTTAACAATGGGCACATATTCCGTTAACGTTTTAAATATTCATAAAAATGATAGAAATTTATCAATTGGATAATCTTATGAAATATCCATGGGAAACTAAACCTTAAAGAGGGCTAAAGTTATTAATTGTGAACATATATATGTTGAAAAATTATATTTTGTTCTACTTTATTATCTGCTATATGTTTTTATGTCATTTAAAACTTTCCAATTACTCAGCAAGATAATTCGTTTTTTGTTTGTTTTCACGGATGATACTAAGTACTACCAACCTGATTATTTATGGTGTAAGATATCTTCTATAAGACCTAAAGATAGGTAATGCGAGAGAGTTTCCTTTGCAGAATGATTTATGCTAAAAGTCGAGTCTTGTCCTCTCTAACAATTGGTATTCTAGGTGCAGGAGAAATTGGACTTCATCGTGAGTAGTAATGCATTGCTTTAACATTAATTTGTTTAAGTTTCCACTCAGCAGAAAATCCCTATTTGCATTAATTTTATATTAAGATTATATTGAATGTTTTTCTGAAATGAAATATTTTGTGATCTAAAGACAATAATGGAGGACACAACAATAACATGTGCATGTAACTAAATAATGTATCCTGACAAGGTCCGCAAATGAGATAGTAATAATGTTAACATATTTCTTTACTGCACATAAATTTTGAACTATTTTTACAAAACCCTGTTGATATGTTTAAACACATACACCATTTCCTTTACATTGTTCTATTACAACATAATCAAATGTTCTTTAAGCTGGCATAACTAATCAGTTATAAAAGTTTACACTGTAAAATGTATTTTGAATTTATTCAATTTATGGCGATATTGTTTTGTTGTTTAAAAGAAAAGAAGATTGTATCCTATGTTTATTTCCACCTTTTGTCTTTTGCCAGTTGCAAAATCATGTAAGGAGTTTAAAATGAAAGTATGGGGGTTAACGAGGATGGAACACCCACCAGAAACCCAGAGTCAATACATTGATGTTTATAGGTACTCACTATTTTCTTGCAATGAAAATAAATAATACTAATGAGAATAATTTTCTTGAAAATGTTCACTGATTATTAAGTTTCTTTGTCGCTCAGATAGAAAAACATGTGAATATCTCAACCAGGAAATGACTGGTATTCTATGAGCACAAAACGTCAAATTTCATTGAATGTGAAAAACAAACTTAATAAATAAGGGCGCCACTTAATAAACGCATTGCTTAACACAACCCAGCAATACTGGACCACTGGCAAAAAGCCAAGACTGCATGATAATATTTCTACCATTGTGATATTCCAACTGAGTATTATATTACAATATATTAAAGGGATATTCAGGCAAAATAATGACAAAAATATCAAAATGATCTTATGTTCTCAAATCACGCTGAAATGACATTTCTGAAAGTTCCAGCATAAATTTTTGTTTAAAGTCTACATATTTTTGGTTTGAGGCTTAAATATATCCATTTTAATGAACAAAATTTAGACGCCAATAAAATCAACGAATAGTTTTAAAACAAGTCATGTCACTAGAATAAACCCTCGAAGTTACAATAAAATATATTGTGGATATTGTAGGATTGAAACAAGTCAAAGTCATTCACTTGACATGTTCTTTAACGTTTCCAGAGTTCACCGTGACAACTTTTGTGAAATCCTAGTGCTCTAACCTGACCCACGCGGGTCAAGTTAGGAAACCACCATTTTATTTTTTCTACGCAGAAAAGTTTTGTTCTTTTGACTGTCTAATGTATTAACTTTGGGGGCATTAACAGAATAATGAATGAAAAATCCAAAACTAAGAAATGAAAATTTTGCCTGTGTCTCCCTTTAAAACACATTCAATGAGAGCAAATGATAAAAGACTTTAGTATGCATAACAATGAAAATTAATAAACTTGAATCATTCCAGGACAACAAATCAACTAGAGGAATTGCTAGAAAATTGCGATTATATATGTAATATCTTACCAAGCACACTACAGACTAAGGACATGTTGTCTGGTAACATTCTGGAAAATTGCAAAGCAAAGGTAACAAAAGATGGTCTCAGAAGTTATTTAGCTAACACAATTAACACAATTTTATTTCGATTAAAATATGAAATAAAGAAATACAGAATATGACCTACATGAAATGAAAAAAAAAATTGTATGTCGAAAAAAAAAAAAAAAAAAACCACAAAAAAAACAAAACAATTAAACATTATAGAATGTTCCATAACGGTCAGATTGATAATGCAATAAAAATGCACATTACAACAGCGTCAAATAGCATCAATTCAAAAGGGTTGATATGTGTTTATTTGTTTTTTTAAGTGTTGAAATTTGTTAGGTTTTATAGTCGGGTGTTTTAAAAAAACGCAAGACAATTGTCCTTATCTCGCTCAAATTGTTTTGGTTGTCATTAGAAGGACGAATGAGTTGCAATATACGTTTTAATTCTACATTTTCGATTTAAAAGACATCGACTGAATCTGTGCCATATTATCATGTTTTTTCTTCAAATGTCACTTATGTCTGTTCCAACCCGCATTTTTATTCAGTGATATGCTTTTAATAAAGAATATACAAACACCGAGATACGTTTGATAGTTGCATGCCAATAAGTTTGTCATTACCTTCATTCCAGAAAAGTATTTTCATCAATGTTGGACGTGGAGATGTCGTAGATGAAGAAAGCATAATTAAAGCAATTAAGTAAGTTTTCAATTTCCTTCCAAACTTGAAAAATGATCTTTTCAAAAGTTCTAAAAACTTATTTTGTTTTAAATGATATGTTTTTGCATTTGGATTGAAAATGAGATCAACGAGAGGAATGTGTCGTCCATGAACATGTTCTGTTTCACACCTTATAAAAATAACCAATGCTCTTTCAACATCTGCACCACGTGATGTTCCAATAGGACTCATTATTGGATCCAATCTTATCAATATTGTTTAATTTTCAACTTCAGAGTCCAAAGAGTCCATATCAGTATCAATACCCTTACAGCCTCGTTTTCATTTCCAGAGTCTAAACTGTTCATTTCTTATTCATATCACAACCCATAAACATGTACTAGTAATATTAAAAAACTGAATCCGTAAAGAATGTCCAAGACGACAAAATAAATTGAAAATGTTGAAGACACGGTTTGATTTAGCTTGTTCATGGACGGTACTGGAAAATGCAATTTAGCGTGTACGCCCCTAGCACCGGTTTAAGCATAATTAAAAATCTAAATATGTAAAATGTAAAATTCAGTGTTGTACTCAACAATGTGTAATAAGCTTAAACTATCACACCTGCAACATTTTTGATTTGGCCAATGTGTATGCATAAGTCGTCAATAAAACCAGCGGTATTCTTTTAAGTATACCGTACACATTTTTAAACATGTCATGTTAAACAGAAACGTCTCATCGTTATAAATTATTTAGAACATCAAGAACATCTTAACATTTTGTCCGCCGGATTAGCTCAATAGAGGGGGGCATTAGATTAATATTCCAAGTATCGTTAGGGTGTGGTTTAATTTCTCAAACAAAGAATCGTATATTCATTAAAGTAATTAGTAAATGATGACGATAAAGATACGTTACCTAGTGAGAAGAATGTTTAATCAATTAGTATTGTATGTGTCAGATTGAGACCCAGTTTAATGATAAACTGGATTTCATTGTCTTCTTTAAATTAGTGCACAGAAATAATGTAACTATGCCAAATTACTTTTATGCTTTTTATCTGTCTCTGTTTGTCTTTTTATCATTGATGAAATCAAACTACATTGATCGCTTTTATTTGCCTTTTAACATATATTAGCAAGCGTCTTTTAATCTCTAGACGCAATGTAAGCCAATTTGTTATTATCTTCAGTAATGGATGGCTAGGTGGAGCAGTCTTAGATGTATTCCATGAAGAACCATTGCCTTCTTCAAGTCCCCTGTGGAACCTCCGAGGAGTTATTGTGACCCCACATGTTTCCGGCTGGTCCTCAGATGGTTCCGTGAGTAGATTAAAACGCATCGTATGATACTGTTATCGGTCTTTTTAAACATAATTTGTTTATCATGAATGAATGTATTGAATACATTAGGAAAGATTCTGTATTTCAATTATAAAAAGAATAATTTTTAAGAACAAGATTTGGGTTGGGTAAACGTCTGTTTGATGAAATTTTTTCATCCAAAATCTATTTTCTAATATGTCAAACATTTAGTTTCATTCTAATGTAACATTATGAATAGTTTATAAATTTGTTTTTGCTTAATTTTCGCTAATTTAGCATATCAGCAATCTGTTGGCATGTTTTGTGGACAACTTAAACCGTTATGTGACAGGACAGCCATTAAAAGGGACTCTAGATTGGTCACAAGGATATTAATAAATAGACATATGTGCTTATTGCTTGTAAATAAAACACTGCTAACGTTAGTAAAACTTCACTGTTGACAATGAAAAGCAAATTATTTATAATGCTTCATTATTCAATGAAAAGCGATCTTTGTGCTCAGTTGAAACCAAATCATCAGCGACTTCCTCTCCTTTGTGCGAAAGTGGTTATTAAAGTGGTATTTCCTGTCAAGTTGTGTTGAGGTAGCAATCTATTTCTAAAGATTGGCTTAAAGAAGAGTTTTTTTTTTGGGTGTTACGTCACATCGACACAGTATAGGTCATATCGCGACGTTCCAGCTTTACTGGTGGAGGAAGACCTTAGGTACCCCTCCGTGCATTATTTCAGGTACGAACGGGCAGCTGAGTAGAACCACCGACGTTCCGTAAGCTAACTGGATAGCTTCCTCACATGAAAGAATCCAGAGTCCCTGTCGGGATTCGAACCCACAGCGATAAGGGGCAAGTGGTTTAAAGAATTGTGATTGCCAAATAATTGACAACGAAACAATATATAAAGTATCTACATTTAAAAAAATCAGCCCACTCTTTTTAAGAATTCAGCGTTACAGATAAAATTCTGAACGATATTTTTAAACAATTATGTTGATCACGTGGAATATTGAGTAATTTTTCATAGTAAAATAAAAATTTGAACACAGGTATATGTCACAATGTTAACTTGTTATTTTTTCAATTGTTCACTGACCATTTACACTTGGAAGGGCATAATGACACTTTAAACTTACATGTGTATCTGTAATTAATTGTAAATTAATTGATATTTAAAATGCATTGTTTTATTTCATTGGCAATGTATGTTAACCGCCTCCGTGGTCGAGGGGTTAGAGTCGATGACTTCTAATCCAGTTACCTCTCTGGCGTGGGTTCGATCCCCGGGAGATGCTTTGGTAGTTTAGCGCGGAGGAAGGTAGTCTAGTACTGGTGTAACTCTCCAGGAACGATGGTTAGGAAACTACCCGCCTATATGACTGAAATACTGTTGAAAAGGGCGTAAAATGAAACAAACAAACAAACAAATGTAATTAAAAACTGGTATGAACTGTTTATTTTTTTTCGGAAATAATCATTTATGTTGATTTTCTTATTTCGATAATATATAACATTTTATATTATAAATATAGTCTTGTAAATACGAGTAATTACATAAACATTGTAGACTAATACGACGCCGAAGTAAACATAAATTTTCAAGGCAAATATTATGAACTATTTCCCCCAGAGTTGATTTAATATGTTAAAGGAGATTTTGTCAATTTTAGTTACGGGAATTTGCCAGATTGGTTAAAAAGTATTTTGTAGGTTAATTGGACCAATTTGACAAACTAAATGAAGCAAACAATTACACACATATACACGTCCATTGTCGAAAAGTCTTTAAAAGAAGATAATAAATATACAAAGCATGATAAGCATGATTTACAAACTAGCAAAAATGTTGTTTGTACAATATGTAGATTATATAAACGTGATAAACGACTACAAACATGCAATATTGCATGCATGAGTATTAAATACATTTATATGGCACATCAATCTGCGTTTTATGAGAATAAAGGTGTTTGAGTAAACTCATTGCATTTGAATAGAGGTCAGAAAAAAAATTGCAATCACACATTTATGTGAATGTACATTGTATATTTTGTAAAATAGATCGAAACAATGTGAAATGCATTATAAGTGTCGGGATATTAATTAACAATAAATATGCAAGGTAGTCCCATTTAATTCAGCGACATGTCTTTATTATATGTAAACACAATTGAACATGGCGCATGTGTATGTTGCTAGTGAATGGGTGGAAAATATAGGAAAAATGATAAAAAATGTAGCCAAGTTTAAGGTTACTGTGTTAAACCTGTTTTCAAAAGTTGGTGGCGAATATGCAGGTAATCGTTTTGAAAAAAAATCTTTTAAACGCTAACATATACATGTAAATAGTGATTTATAATTTGCATTGGTATAGCATGAATATTGTAACATTTGATTGTAAGTATTTTTTTTATCAAATTATAGATGAAATACTTATATACATATATTTACATTATTTTCACTGGTGTCTTTGATGCCTACTTTCTTCAAAATTCAACCAATACTTAAGAAATGAGAAATAAAATGGGAAGCAGTTCTGAGATAAAATTGGCGTTCAAATAACTTATAATGATTTAAAACTTACACGTTCAATGCATTTCACATTGTTATTAGATAATGTGACACTATTTTGTCGCAAGCACGCACACCACGTTCTGAGTCGTGTATTTCCATACTGATGCATCAATACATTCATAACATACATGTATTCAATAACCAGAGGTTACGAAGCATTATATGACCATCTATTAATTGCAAACCTGATGCTCGATATACTGGATGTTATTTAAGGAGATTATTAATAATGGACAGTACAGTAATTTACATCTCAACATTTTTTGAAAATATTAAAAAGGAAATTGCAGACTCTGTCCCAAAGGATACAACGCTTGTTTTCCTAAAAACCATAAAGTTTCATCTACTTAAGTGTAAGTATTATGTTATGTTATATAATTTTTCTGAAGAAGGCATATTGAATTTTTGCGTAAAAAATTTTGACCAAAAATGTGCAATATATGAAAAATGTCATTTTTAAAAAGACATCATAAATGAAATTTTATGTCATGTAATTTTGTAATAGAGAACTCTTCAATATCAATAAAAATATTGGAGTTGGCACAAATTTTGCAAAATTACATAAAATTTTATTGCTTGTCATAACCAAAGGAATCAACCTACCTCGTCTGCAATGTTTGACTCCGGCTTGATTAGGAGAATGTGCTTAGAACTAAGAAACGTGATATCTGTTGAGTGTTGACTCGATTATCAATGTACATCAGAAAATTTAATTTACCTCAAGATGAGATATAATATATTTTATTCGTTAGACGCAATCTCTTGGTTTATATTAGATTCAGATGCATATATTTGATATGAAAATAGTGTGTTTATTACCCTTTTTGCCTTGTGAACGAATGAAATAATTTCATATTTTGTTGAATGTGTCAAAATATGCAAAATAACCATTAATACATAAGTTAAAGGACAAAATTGCCATGTAACTTATAAATTTAATCTTATCTTATAATAAATACAGAGCAATAAAGTATCGTATAAAGCATAACATTAATGTGATTATGAATATATCCCTTAAGAGCCCGTTACATTTAGCACTACTTTCTTCAGGTGATTATTATCTAAAATACTCTAAACAATATATAGATCACATGTTTGCTCTTTCTGACGAAGAAAAGATATCCTTGTAAATAAGTTCTGAGGCTTAATATGCTATTAAACAATTCTAAACACTCTTTATTTAGAAATAAGTTAGCATATCTACTTGACATTAAAACGGGTGACAAACTATGACATTCATAAATCAAATACGATTTTTTTGTAAATAAGTGTTTTTTTTATCTATTCTAGATGAAGTTCCTGAGCTGGAAGACAAGGTTTTTGCAAGCAAGATAGAAGTTATGTTTGTAGATTTACCAGTGTTAGCAAAATACAGGAAGAATCTGGTTAATCTAAAATGGGCACACACCGCATGGAATGGTTCGTCATTTATTTTATAACAACTAATGTGTGTCCATAATAGATTCAACTGTGATACTCTGCTTATTTATAATCTTTTGAAGAAGGAGGAAAAGAATAAAAGAGAACTTTTTAAATATTCGTCTTCGACTTCATATAATTACACAGTTAAAACCATGAGATAAATATTTCATTTGTATATTTGCACCCTCAATAAGTAAATCTTTGATAAAATAATGGTAGTATTTGCCTTATTCTTATTTGCATTTCAAATACATCTTATTGCGAAAGAAATTTTTATCGCATGTGGGTCAATTAATTAAGTTATCATGTCTTACAGGAGTGGATATTCTAATGAAAACATTTGAAAAGGATGAGGTAAAAGTTTACATACATACAAACATTAAGTAAATTTCCTAGAATTAAAAGGTTAAATAGCTACAGATTCAGAGTGAATTTCTAAGCATTTAACTTAACAGTTATATAAGCCAATTACTGTGGTAACAAATCATGTTAAATAAAAAGACCAAACCAGTGAATAATTGTATATTCGTAAGTTGAAAACGGTTGTGTCGTCCTGAACAAATCACTGTTTGTTAGCATCATGAAATTATAACGCTTCGTTTATTTTTTCAGCCCCTACCAAACTTTATTCTTACTAAAACTCCTGGCTCCCTGAATGCAGAACACATTACAGAGTATGTGATCGGTTATATCATAGCCAAAGAGAGGCTTTTTTTCCAAGCAAGGAAGTCGCAGCAAAAGTCTAAATGGGAACAGTAAGATTTAGTTTTTTCCTCACATTTTAATTGTTTGTTCCCCACGCAATCATCAAAACAGAATTATAATTTTGCGCAACAGATCACGTTTCTTTTTACTAAATGTACATTTCCGAATATTTCGATCCTTCTATTGTCACACTATACATCCATGCTATATGTTACATAGTATTTGATGACCAGTTGCTTATGATTTATGATATGTCTTTGGTTAAAATACTGTGCAATGAGTTGTTCTATATTTAAAACTTTCTGACTGTCTATTTCCTATTAACTGTGTACATTTAAATGTCATTACCATCCGAATTTACGAAAAGTATGCTTACCATTAAACAATTCAGACGCTCATTAAAGATAAAAGATTTACATAGACTTAATCGTTTTAGTTTAGTTAAACGCGATAGAGTGTTAAAGTGTTTTGTTTTGTGAACATATATATGTTGAATAATAATAATACTTTTTTCTATCTGCCGTACATTTATATGTCATATCGGATCAGGTGTTTAACACTTCCAAATAATCCAACAAGATAATTCTTTATTGATTTGATTTTACAGATGATACTAAGTACTACATGCTTGCTTATTTATGGTATAAGATATCTACCACTATAGATAGGTAATGCAAGAGTGTTTATTTTGCAGAATGATTTATGCTCAAAGTCGAGTCTTGTCTTCTCTAACAATTGGTATTCTAGGTGCAGGAGAAATTGGACTTCATCGTAAGTATCAATGCATTGCTTCAACATTAGTGTTTAAGTTTCCAGAAAATCCCTATTTGCATTAATTTTAAGATTATATTGAATGTTTTTCTGAAATGAACTATTTTGTGATCTAAAGTCAGTAATGACTGACACAACAATAATATGTACATGCAACTAAATAATGTATCCTGACACAATGTCCACTAATGAGATAATAATTAATAAGTGAAAGAACATCGTAACACGAGGTTTTCTGATTTGTACGAGAGGGCGTAGCCCCCGAGTATTAATCAGATTGCAGGGTGTTTTGATTTCATTCTCTTTTGTATCATAGTCAAATCTAAAAACACATTCCCTGTTGTCACAATATGAAACCCCAGAAAAGTAACCAATGGACGAGCATCTGAATATGATATTCTATCGTTTTCCCTTTCCCTGCCGTCACAATAAGTAAACACCAGCAAAAATGATAATTTCAACGGGCATGCTCTGGAGTGCGGATAACTTATACCCTCACTTCAGTTAACGCATTGTACATGTATATGTATACGATTTAACTCCGACTCATTTTCAACAGAAAGGTCCCCAAACTATGATACAAAGTTAAAATATTTCTTTATTGCAAATTTTAACTTTAATTTAAAAAAATCTGGACAAAATTTGATCCCTCAGAAGCATTAATCACAACAAAATTACATGAAAATTGCAGACTCGGTTTGATTAAGACTGTACATAAGGGATAATGAAAAATGGTAACCTTCCTCACGCCCCTAAAGCTGGCTTGAGCGGCATTGAATTTTCATCACTTAAAAGTGTTGAAATCAACCCTGTTTGTATGGTTAAAACACATATACAATTTTCCTTTAAATTGTTATATTACAACATGACCAAATGTTCTATAAGCTGGCATTTCTCATCAGTTATAAACGTTTACAAGAGTTTTGAGTTTTTATAATCAATATATTTTGAATGTATTAAATTTAAGGTGATATTTTGTTGTTGTTTGAAGAAAAGTAGATTGTTTCCTATGTCTATTTTTGCCTTTTGTTTATTGCCAGTTGCAAAATCATGTAAGGAGTTTAAAATGAAAGTATGGGGGTTAACGAGGAGGGAACACCCACCAGAAACCCGGAGTCAATACATTGATGTCTATAGGTAATTACTGCTTGCTTTCAATGAAAATAAATAATACAATGAGAATCATTTTCTTGGAAATGTTCACTGATTGTTCAAAGGTTTTGGAAATTTCTTGATCGTTCAGATACAATTTAAATGTGAATATGTCGACCAGAAAAAACGCTGGTATTCTAATTGCACAAAACTTCAAATTTCATTGAATATGAAAAAATATAATCAAGAAGGAAGGACTGCACTTAAAGCGTCGCCCATCACTACCAACCAACACTGGACCACCGGCAAGAAGCCAAGACTGTATGGTTAATATTTCTACCGGGTCATATATATATGTGTGATAATCCAACTTAGTATTATAATTATAACAATATATTAAAACCCATTCAATGAGAGCAAATGATAAAGGACTTTAGAGTCCATAACGATTAAAACTAATAAAAAATATAAAATATAAATAAAATATAACTTGTATCATTCCAGGACAACAAATCAACTTGAGGAATTGCTAGAAAATTGTGATTACATATGTAACATCTTACCAAGCACACCACAGACTAAGGACATGTTGTCCGGTAACGTTCTGGAAAACTGCAAAGCAAAGGTAACAAAAGATGCTCTCTAACTAGATTTTGTATCAAACAAATTATGAAATACAGAAATACAGAATGTCCTATATGTAATGAATGAACCAGATTGTATGTTGAAAACAAAAACAGTAAAAAATGTTCCATGGCTTACAGATTGATATACACCAAGCGTTCTCATTACTGTATCGTCAAAATAGCATAACTTAAAAAGGGTTGATATTTATTTATATGGTTTACTGGTGGCTTGGGCTTGTCGGGGGCTGCGTCCTGTGAAAGTTGCCTTTGCCTTGTTGATCTCTATTCTCGTTTTTTATATGTGTTAACAATTGGTAGGTCAGTTTTACAGTCGTATGTTTTCAGAAAACTCAAGACATTTGTCCTGATGTCGCTTAAAAAGTTTTAAATAATAAGATAACATTACATGTATCATAGGAAGGACCAATTTGTTACAATATACGTTTGAATTCATTCTACACTTTCGATTTTGAAGACATCGTCTGAGTCAACAGTGTCATAATATAAAAATGTCTTTTCTCCAAATGTCACTTTAGTCCGTTCCAATTTGTAATCAGTAATATACTTTTATTAAAATATTCCCAAATGCATACGAAATACGTTTGATAGTTGCCTGCTGATATGTTTGTCAATTATTTCATTTCAGAAAAGTGTTTTCATCAATGTTGGACGTGGAGATGTCGTAGATGAAGAAAGCATAGTTAAAGCAATTAAGTAAGTTTTCAATTTCCTTTATTAAAACAATGAGTTTTTCGAAAATAGATTATGTATAGTTCTGAAAACGTGTTGGTAATATCTGATCTGTTTATATTTTTAAATTGATAATAAGATCAATAAAGGGCTGTATCGCCATATCGTCCATGAACATGTTTTATTTCACACTTTATGTAATATAACCGATGTACTTTCAACATTTGCAGCACGTGATGTTTCAATATAAATCATAATTGGGTACAATTTTATCAGCATCCTCTGAGTCGAAACAGCCCATACCAAATCAATATCACACCCTTTACAGCCTTGTTTTCATTTCCAGAGTCCGAAAGGTTCATATTTAATCTAAATCACACCTCATACGAATACGCCTCGTCTAATATAGTTTTGACGGTTATGTAATCGTCCACTAGAATTCAGTGTTGTTCTCAACATTCTATAATAACCTTATAATATCAAACTTGCAACATTTCGATTTGGCCATGTTGTATGATAGTATAGTTGGTCGATAGAACCAGCGGATTTTTTAAAAAATATTATATACATTTTTATACCTGTCATGTTAAACAGAAACGTTTCATCGAGAAGTATTATTTAGAACGTCAAGAACTTTTCAACATTTGTCCGACGGATTAAATAGAGGGAACATCGTATTATTATTCCAAGGAATGCTAAGGTTAGGTTTAATTTTTCCGTGGCATTGATCTCGGCGATTGAATTTTAATACACCTAAACAATGAATCTTATATAAATTAAAGTAATTAGTAAATGACAACGATAAAGAAATAAAAAATGGATACTTTATCTAGAGAGAAGAATGTATACTAGTAATCAATCAGTATTATATGAGTCATATTGAGACCCGGTTAAATGATAAACTGATTTCAATGTCTTTTTCAAATGAGTGCTTAGAAATATTTTATCTATGCCACATTGTTATCATCCTTTTTATCTATCGCTGTTTTTCTTTTTATTATTGATGAAATATGATAAACAAGATCAACAAGGAAAGGCAACCCCCACCCGACCCAGTAACAAGAGCCAGTGCCAAGGAGCCCAGGAGGACCAAAAAATCGAGCTACATTGATCGCTTTTGAACATTGTTTTGCTTTGACTTTTAACATATATTTGCAAATGTCTTTAAATCGCTGAACGGAATGTAAGCCAATGCGTTCTTATCTTCAGTAACGGATGGTTAGGTGGAGCAGTCTTAGATGTATTCCATGAAGAACCATTGCCTTCTTCAAGTTCCCTCTGGAACCTCCCAGGAGTTATTGTGACCCCACATGTTTCCGGTTGGTCCTCAGATGGTTCCGTGAGTAGATTTAAACGCATCGTATGATACTGTTTTCGTTTTGTTAAAGACAAGATACCATTACTGATATTTCTAATTCATTTGAAAATATACTGTATTTCAGTTACAAAATATAGTAATTGTGACAAATCATAATAAACAAAATTTGTTTTGGTTAAATGTCTGTTTGATAAAATTCTTTTGCCCTTAAACTATTTTCTTATAGTCAAATACTTAGTTTCTTTCTAATGTAACATAATGTAGAGTTCATAAAATTGTTCTTTCTTTATTTTCGCTAATATAGCATACCAGCAATCTGTTGGCATGTTTTGTGGACAACTTAAATCGATATGTGACGGGACAGCCTTTAAAGGGGGCACTAGATTGGTCACAGGGATATTAATAAATGGACTTATGTGCTCACTGATTTGAAGTAAAACACTGTTAACCTTAGTAATACTCCACTGCTGACAATGCAAAGCAAATGATTTATATTGCTATATGTTTCAACCCATTGGACAACAAAATCAAGAGCGGCTTCATCTCTGTTCAACAATATTGATTTTTACATTTTACTGTGCATGTATTTTCCAAACCGTTACATATCAGCAATTTATCGATAAATTATTAGGAATGTATTGTTTTTTCCAAATTTACCACTGACTTTGTATGTAATATTTTATTTAAAACTGGTCTGTACTGCAATTTTTTCATCTGTATGGGTGTTCATTTTTTTTAAACTTCAATACCATATAATGTTTTATATAATAATCGTGTAAATTTGAGTAATAATATAAACATTGTAGGCTAATATCAGGCTAAAGTAATCATACATTTTCAAGGGCTTACATTATTTACTATAACCCTCAGAGTTGATCTAATATTTATATTATTATACCGTGCATAATCTAGTAAAACAGTCATTAGAAAAAAAACTGCGTGGCTTATCTTTAAGTTCAAATTATTTTACAATTTGGCATTGATGGAGGGATTTTTTTGCAACTTGTGAAAACAAAATTTCTCAAAGAATTTTATTATATTGAAGCAATATCTTTACTGTAAAGCGACATTCTTGTGTACAGTTATTGACGTCATATATCGTTAGCTTTTGATGGCGGTGAATTGCCTGCTTATGTCGTTGTTTGCATATATCACAGAAAAAATAACAATATTTGAACATGTTACAATATAATTCCCTGCCATTTCAAAATCCTGTATGTTGTTATTAAGGTTGTTACCAAATTTAAGTGAAATTTTATATTTGTATATAATTATGCTTCTAAAACAAATTTCAAACATCGAATAATATGTAAAATAAGTACTGCAAATATTTGTCCACATTATATGTAATCATTAAAACATATGCATTCATTTCTTATTGAAAAGTGTGTCTCAGACTTTACAGAAATAATTTTTTTAATTACCTCCCTTTAATAGCATGAAATGTAAATTCGCTAATATATTTACAAAAAATGCTTTTTGGAACTTACGATATTGATAAATCTTCATTTGAGCATTATATTTATGATATAAATCCATAAAAAATGTGTCACAGGATCTTTAAGTATAAGTCAGAACAAAAAAGAAACTTCGAACATATCAAAAAGAAAATAATTTTCTTGGAAAAACATTTTTTGCCTCTCAATAAAAGTAATATTTGCTCGTTTCATAAACAATACTAATTCATACATGTATATATTTGTTAAACAAACGCTTAGTCAGTTTTTTAACTACCAACATTAGTATATTTATACTGACCAGAACAGTACGGTTAATCAATGTGAAAGTATAGGACAAAAGTAGAATAAAGGACTTCACACTGACCTTCGTATTTTCTTAAAAGGAGATGGTTCAAAATCTAATGATAAAATTTCATTACTACTTAAAATACTTCATATTTCATATGATAAAACCAAGACCTAAGTTTCAAAATATATGTTTGATACAATATTTTTTTATGAATTGTGTATACATAGGCAATATGTCTTTTGAAGGATTTATTGTGTTTAAGTCGTTTAATTGCTACAAGTCAAAGGTGCAATCTACATTGGACTGAACCTTTATGAAATAAACAGCGTTGAACAAAAGTGATATTTTATTTTGTAAAAGCAACATATTTTTTGATAATACAAAACAAGTAAACATTAAAAGGTATTTGAATAATAAGTTAAGAGTAAGCAAAGTATCCGAATTAATATTTAGGTATAATACAAGTAAAAATCTAACAATGAAATGATTAGTGCTTGATGTTGTCCGCTTTGCACATGACTTTCCATTGTATCAATAAATGTTCTGCTTCCAGATTATTAAAAAGGACGTACACTGTTTAGCAGAAATTATCACATAAAATGTGTTGTAAGGACAGAACGTAAATATGGCATTATCTCTCAGCAAAGACATCGGACCAGTCTATTCTCTATCAACTATCTTTGATATTTCCCCTGTGTATTTAGGCTCGGCTCCCTTTGCATTTGCCTGAAGAACAAAAATAAATATATTAAATATTGTTAAATAGTTTGTATAAAATTTTAAAAGATCAACTGTATCAACACTTCTATTTAAAGTTTTGCTTTTTAACAGATAGAATAAAAATACATTAATTTTTTCTAAACAATATATACGTTTTTCCTTTCCATAACACTCTCTCTACAAAATATACTCCTTGCTACACAAAGTTTACTGTTTGTGTGTGTAAAAAGTGCATTTAAATGTCATGATTGTTAAAGAGTCAAAATAGAATGAAAACGATGCGGAAGTTAACCTAAATTTAGCGAATCTTTTTTTTTTCGTACAAAATTTATTGATTGTGATTTATTTGCTAGTTACTTAAATCTAAGTCATACTCATGTACGAGAACACTAATAAGCCATACTTGATATAGTACCAGCACAACTGCAAACATTATTCTTTACGGGTCAGCTTTGTGACTGATAATGCGCGAGTTTTTGTTTATTTATATCACGTAATGTTAAAAAGGTTAAGAAACCCCCTCATCTCCAAGAAACTTTTGGACTTGTGAGAGGCTAAAAATGGCCCCAGGTCGACGTTAAGGTAACGTGTAACCAAGGTTGAAAAGCCTTTGACTCTATCTCAATCCATTGACAAGTTGCAGCACTTTGAAATTAGTTTTGATGGAAAATTCAACGCAAACTAGTGATTTTTTGGAAATTTGAGACCTCCCCTCGTTGCCATGGTAACAGGAAATTTAAGATTGGGTATGTCATTACAATGGTTATGGTCCAGTTAACATTTGTGCCAAGGTTGAACAGTATGTAAGCCTTTGTTATAGTTTCATAGCAATTTGAGCTTGTAACAGGAGGCTTTTCAACAAAAACAACCATTTTTAACAAAAAGCTCATGAAGTAATGAGTTAAAGTAAAAAGTATCACAAAAAACGAGCAAGCAATGGAGAATTAAGGAATTTCAGACAACATTCTCGACTTAGGAGCGTTTGTGTTTTTCCACTTTCCATAATACCTCATCAAGACAAATCTGCGATTTCCAACTATTTGCATTTGTTTTATTGCTCTTTTTTCCTTAATAAATGCAAAACTCACTTAAAGTGACCATATCCGGAATACTGTTAACATGGGTGTTCTTTAAGACTTTAGTAAAGATTCAGCTGCACAAAAACTTATACAAAAACCCTAAATGATTTTCATGCAAAATGTTGGTATTTCATCCAAATGTGATTGAATGTTGGTTAATACAAAATGTTAATAATGTGACTTTTTTAATATACAGATATAAACACTTCAGATGTATACTTCTCATATACTTTTCAACTATTTTTTGTAATCATTTGCGTGTTAATTAAATAGCATGCCGGATTGATAAGGAAAACGGCGAATAAACCTCTAATGACATAATTTACCATCATACATTCTTGCACATTATATTTGCACAAATAAAAGTATGCTTTTAAATTTACAATTTACAATATTATGTTATTAACATGCAGGAATTTATGAAAAATGAAACAAAGGAAGCATGTGAGGGTGCAATATTGATAATAAGAAAAAAAAAAATAGAAAGAAATATAAAAAGAAATAAGACGACATTAAAACAGCATTAGAGAAGAAAGCTTAAGAGAAAAATAGAAAGTAGAAATACATGTATCAAATTAATATCATGCAATGATGCATCCGTTCAAATAGTGTGTGTGTACTTACAACAAACCCTAAACTGTGCAGACAGTTCAAAACATTGAAAAAACCGGCTTTTGAAACTTCCCACAAGTCGCCTGATTGGAAGGTAAACTCTTTGGCTAAACCGTAGTCGATACATCCTTTGTTAAAGTTCTCGATATTTGTCATGGCGACAAAGGGAGACATAACCTTCTTTTGGAACTGGATTGGGCTTTTGCCTGCAGCCTTTAACAGCTTGTTTATCAATCTAAAATTGAAACGTAACATTTTGGTTAAAACAATATTATATCAACAGAAGGAGATGCTGCTTCTCTGTTTGTTTTGTTTTTACGGCTCACGGACACATTTTAGGTCATACGTCGCCGAAACAGGACATATTATTTGGCAAACCTCGGGTGTTAAAAACTAAAAGCATCATATCCGCTGGAGCTAAGAGATGCATAGACTCTAGTAATTCGAAACCATTTAGTCGTCTGTTACAATCACTCACGGGAGCTGTAATTCTGATCCCACAACCTTATAAAGGCAACCCCACAACTACAAAGGGAAAAGTGATGGTAGATGCTTATAGAAGAAATATTGGAAAAGTTTGAAGATGTAATTTATAATTTATAACATATATACCTTTTACATCGTTATTTTCACAATAAACTATTAACACATTAATTAACCAAATAAAACCTCACAAAAATTTGGTTACATTTTTTCAACAGTTAGAAAATAAAAGGTGTCATTTTCCTTTCATGAACTTGATATTATTCAAAACTCAATGCAAATATAAAAGTTTGTTATAGGATAACACAGAAAATGAATTCTTAATACCAAGATAATTAAGGATATTCTAAAAAAGGGTTGAAAGTAATACTGTTATCTAGAATAAGATAAGATTTTGTGCAAACATTTGTAATTGGAATAGACTCTAATAGATTTACAAAAAAGAGTTTTGTTCTCAAAGGTTTGGCAAAATAAAACATTTTGCTAAAAGTGCTAAAATAAATCCAGATGATGTTAAAACTGATCTTTGCAAAATGTTTTGACGGTATGCTAAAACTGGAAGTAATTAGACTTTGCCACAAGTAGAGAGCAAAGTCGGCAGTGTAGTCTAGTCAGACCCTAAACTGTTGTCTTCATAACTAAATTTACATTTTAAAATTCCCCAAAATTCCCAATGATATTGAACAGTTACAGCAGGTTAAGAGTTTAAACAACTGATGTTCTAAACGTTTGTTTTATGATATGAGTAGATACCAAGGTATCATTTAAATAATGTTCAACTTGTTTTCTAACAGTTTAACATATGTAACGAAGCTAAGTCAGGTGGCGAACAAATGTAACTTGTAAATAAAATGCACAGAGGTAAATTCTCAAAACAGCTCTGATTCAGAAACATTTTTCTTTCAAATTTATATATTATTTTCCATATAAGTCTGAATTAATTGTTTTCAAATGAAAAAATAGTTTTATGCATAAAAGAACTTGCGTATCAGCGACTACCGTTTTTTGTATGAATTCTCTTTAATATCCATAACCTATTCCGGACTAATTCCGACAATTGTTTTCCTAATTTTCTGTCAGGTAAGTGATACAAAAGCAGTTACAACGATTTGCGTCATGTGAAGCTCATAATAGACAAGAATGGCATGCCTAGGTGATGAGAAGTTATGAGCACCGACTTAAAATCGCTAACCATTCTCAACTCCCGTCTTTTATTTTAAATAGCTATTATCCAGCTAGCTAAAATCGTTCAGTGGTTCTACTCGAGCTTCGCTCGTGCCTGGAATAATACACGAAGGGAGGACACCTGAGGTCTTCCTCCTCCATTAAAGCTGCAAAGTCTCCGAATTACCTAACAATATTGGTGTACTTTTAAATCACACACACAGCAATAAACATTAGTAGACAACTTTCAAACGAATTGCAAGGGATTACATTTGATAAATAATTGTCTGCTTGTAAATTAAGAAAATAGAAATGTCACATAAAAAAGTAAGAAGCTAGATTGCTTGTATGTTTTTGATAAATACTACTTTTAACACAAGTAACACTTATGAAATAAATTGCATTGTATATTATTGTAACAAAAATTGTTAAAAATAAAACGAAACTTGCAAAGTTTGAAATAAATTAAATGCTTTTATCTTTTGTTGTTATTTTTTCTATTATATTGTTTTACCGTTTTAACTGTTGTTGGTTACTTTTTTTCTTGTCAACATAGTCACGATGTTACAAATATACTCACTTGCATAACATAACGCCGTCTTTTATGTGTAAATTGAAAGTTTTCCAGTTTGGCTGCTCAGCTTGATCCTTTAAAAGATTAAAAAATAAATAAAAGTACTGACAGGACTGAAAAGTCGAGGAGTTCCGATGGCAGTCACGTGGAAAAAATATAAAATTATAAAATGTCTTTCTAGAACATTATATTTACTTTCTGTGGCAAATCACAATTGCACGTGGAAAAACATAAAAGTCTCGTGTAAAATGTTTGTACCTCCATATTAATTTCAAATAAGCAAAATTTATTATGTTTCAATTTACAATTAAGTGCGCTAAAGAGTTGCTCCGCCAGAAATACACGGTCTTTCAGTCTTTCATTACAAATCACATCACATCACCCAATGATGGATACAATCGGCAAATAAGATACAGACAGAAAAAAGTACACATACTTGTGGAATTGGGTCATGCTCCCCTTCACAAATTGCATTAAGCCATTGAATGACGGCTGCTGGGGTACCGGCTTTTTCTTCACGGTCATAATTCTACAAAAACAATTGGTAAACCAGGCAATTAATTATCATGAAATAGTTTGAATAAGAAAAATTCCAGGAAACTGTTCAATTTAATTACTTGAAAAAACCCATTTAATGGTATTTGTTTTCCCCCAAAAATATGCAAAAGCTTTTATCGACACAATGCAAAGATTAAATTTTGTTTATAAAAGGAAAAAATGCATTTTGTTAGTATTAGAATTATTACAAAAATCATCAATTTTGATAGATCAAAAGCGACATTTATCATAAGAAACAGAACTTCCGACTTGATTTAAAAAAAAGATAATATCGGAAAAGCATGCTAACCGTTGTATTTTTATATATTAACCTTTTACCTCATATAGACATGTTTTGGTGGATTTTGCCCCCCCCCCTCTCTTTTTTGAGGCCTCAAATAGTGAAAAAATGTCCTATTTAGGCCCCAAAACACTGTTTTTCGTTTGAGAAATGTTGTTAAAAAAGTGATCACTTTTTCGGCGCCGCCCCCAACAAATTGGTACACCAAGGGGTCGCAGAACGGGGGATGTGCCCCCTTCTGTTTGGGGAGTTTGAAGGAGGCGGCAGACCCCTTCATCGACAAGAACAATTTGGACATGTGACAGGCTAGAAATGGCCTCAGGTCGATCTTAAGGTAACGTGTAACCAACGCTGAAAGACTCTATCTCAATCCATTGAGAAGTTGCATCACTTTGAAATCAGTTTTGATGAAAAAAAAACCCAATGCAAAATAGTGATTTTTGGCAATTTTGAGACGTCCTCCCGTTGCCATGTTAACAGGAAATTTAAGATTGAGCATGCTGTTACAGAGGCTATAGTCAAGTTAAATTTGTGCCAAGTTTCATCATTATTGAAGTATTTTTCATAGTTTCATAGCAGTTTAAACTTGTTACAGGAGGTTTTTCAATGCAAACGGCCATTTTTCACAATATGCTCACGTGGTAAAAGTTTAACTACTTTGCTAAATAAAAAATGGGTAAAGGAAGGTCATTAACTTTAGTAAAATTAACATAGGGAGTGGTCATCTTAAATCATTTCTTTTGAAGATTTGTTGGGGTACAGCTAAATTATCTTTACTATCACATACACAACAGTTTGAATCAAACAAATATGAAGTCGTACATTTTTTTATGATATTAAAGAAAAAAGCAGAAATGATGAATTGATATCCCCTATTGAATGATTCAGTTAACTGAATTGAAGCTTCTAAGTACTAAGTACCTCGGAGCAATTTTATTCAAATGTAGAGTTATTGTTCCAACACAATGTACCATTGTTAAATGACATTTTGATGCCTAAAATACACTTTTTGTTTCAGAGCCCCTTATAAAAGATGACTGTTGAACAAAGTAGTTTTCCTTAACTCTATCAAAATATGAAGTTTTGATCCGAGAAAATTTAAATGTGAAGACTGACAAAGGAAAATATCTCTAACAATTTAAGCAAATCAAGTTTGAAAAATTAAAAAAAAGAAAGGAAAATAACTCAACAATTATGCAAAAAGTTATGGTTTTTTACATTACCCGTTATTGATAAAATTGATAAAGTTTCAAATTTCTATTTTTGTTTTCAATGGCATAATATGTGATATAAGTGTGGCATTTCGTGGTAGGTGATTGCAGCAATAAAAAAAAACAATTCTATTCCCCAAAAATCAAACATAAATATATGAAAATTTATACTTACACTTTTTAAAGTATTTGAAGTAATCAACTTTCAATCAATTTCAAAGTTTTAATGTCAGGTGATTAAATAGGACCGACATGTATCAAATAATTCCTTGCAAAAACATGTAAATGAAAGCTAGTTTTGGGGTTCAATTATTCCTTACTTTAATAATGTTTAAACACTTAGGATATGTTTTCCTGCTTTTTATTTTTGTCTTTTGAAAGCTTGTCTGTGAAATCCAGGCTTTATACCCTCTGATACGCTTTTACATTCCCATTTCATGTAGTTTTGCCCATTGTTTTTGAGTTCTATTTCTCTCTATTTTACAAACATATGTTTGTAGAATTACAAACAAAATAGACCACACCTTGTTTAATATTTAGACTGTTTCAAGTTTAGATATTACATTTACAATTTTAAGTGTGTCAGTGGGAAGGATGCACGACAATAATGCACGATACTCAAAAACTCCTCTAACAATACATCATCATAAAGATAGTCCACCTAACAAATTTATGAAGTATTCGTACTGAAGAAAAACTCATAATTCAATATTGATTCAACACATGGAAGAATTGATTATTTAGGAAAAATATGAAGTTATTTATTTAAAAACTTTTGTAAAAATTGATATTTCCCTTTTCTTACTAGTATGATGATTCTGAAGTCATCTTCAACATACAACTAGACTTTCTGCATTTTTGTTACACTAGTGAGCATTTAGCATTCATTTCTCAAAAGCGTTTCATTAATATTATTTTCAATGTTATTCTTATCGTTGTTATCACTAGTAAACGAAGACAAATCAATGCAGCGGCAACAAATATCATTTCTAAATATATACAATTGTGTTATTGAAGCGGTCTATTGTCCAAATAAATGACCTGACAGACTTGCAGGATGTATGTATTACGTTTTCATTATCTTTTATAGCTTTAAACTAGTTTTAACACTCTAATGCCAATTCAAAAGCTCATTGCTGTAGTAGTATTAATATATAAAATATAGCAAGTTAGTATAAACCACACTGTAACAAAACCTCCTCTTAGCTGAAAGCTATTTTAGCAGTTAATTTGCGCAGAAAGCAAATACCAGATTGCTCACATGCTATCCCATGTTATCTAATTATATAAAGTAATTAAACTCAAGTTTTGGCAGAGGCTTCCACTCATAGCATAAATGATAGAACATATGAAAACGAAATGCGTTCATTGAAACTAATAACTTGAAAACACCATTCCTGAACAGAAGTCTTACTTGTTCCATTTTTTGCTCGACAACATAGCCGATGCCCGTCTTACCGGCTCTCAGTTTTTCACCACTCATTGTTAAATCTAGTTGGAGTTAGGTCAGGAAAAATCTAAGGGTCTGGAAAATAATTCAAGTATGAACATTATAGGTTCTTAAAAAGAAAAGGATTTGAAAGCTTTGGTAAATAGAAGAAAATGTCAATATAAGGTAGCATCATCTGTGACTAGCAAGAAAGATAAGCTAAAGCAAGTATGGCAACAATAGTCATGATATTTCGTGTTTTACCTGAAAATTTAAACTAACACGTGAAAACAAGAGTACATTGACATGTTGATTGTCCTGTTAGTGATAGTAATGATCTTCAAAGACAACCCAACTATATTATCACTGTCTACACAAAACAATCCCATACTTGTTCCAATTTTCTCATTTTGGACAATTCCAACCTTTTGTGCCCGATTGGTGACGCTTGCATCCTTTTTAGATTCCTTAAAGGTAAATTATTAAGGTGTTCTGAAAAGACGGGACTGGAAATAGTTTTTGCTCAAGAATTTAAACTATTTGATGTTAGTTCATACCAATAACGTATGTGCAAAATGTCAGGTTTTTGCTCACATCGGTTTTCTGGAATAACGATTATTTATTGAGGAAAATGATCTAAGAATGAAGAGCAAAAGCGTTGTGTATTTATCGTTTTAAAAATTAATACTTAAAATTTTTCTTCATCATTGCTTTCATACTTTTGTTTTGAGTGTCCTAGTAAATAAATGTAAGATTTTACTTTTACAAATTTTAAATTTTTAGGCTTTCGGACCGTTAATGACACAGTCCAGATAATATCATACCATTCAATATGATCCTATTTCATCAAAGTAAGAAAACCACATACCAAGAGGAATAACATCAGAAATAAAAAAAAACTTGTACCTGCAATCTTCCTAAAAACATGTCAACAAAAAATTAATAGAACTTTTTTTTCATTTTTCCGACAGGATTTTATGTAGATGATTTCAAATTTTAAATACATTACAAAATATCTGATCAAAGTTATGATAATGAAAATATAAATAGACATAGGAAAGAGACTTAAAATAGAACAAAATCGTTGAATCTAGATGCTTTCGTGGCAAAAGAACAGTTTAATTACTGTCATGGGCGTATAAAATTCATGGTTTTGTCAACAAAGATGTTGAATTCGAGGCCTGTCAGTTTGTGAAAAAAAGTAAAATACATAATAACATGATAAAAATAACTTTACAGCAAACGAAACAAGATTTCGTTGGATCTTAAATTCGCGGATTGACATATCCAGTAAAACTACATAGAATAATAATGATTATGAAGTAGAAAAAGGCTTATTCCGTAGAAACGAATCACTTTAAATAACCTGGAATGTATTCAAAAAGCACTTAATATAAAAGTAAATGTCATAAAAGTAGCAAACTGTTAACAAAGTAGTATTTTGACTTCCATACAAAATACTCAATACAATAGAACTAACAGTAAATGCGCTAATTTGCAACAGATGCAAAAGGTGGTTCCGGTAACTGGCTAAAGAAACTTATGTAGGACTACACAAAACGAATCCCTTTGAGAAATTAAAATAAAAACATTTAAGGGTATATATTTGCTTTACGGTTTCTTGAAAGAATGCTTTTCACGCTTGCATTATATATACTGTAGATAAAATCAGAATTATATATTGCTTACATTGGTTATAAGTATTAGGGACGTAAAAAATCGATGTAAGTTGGAAAATATTACATCGATTAAAGTAAAATAATAAACATTGTAAAAACATACGAACTAATCATGCACATATATAACTGTACAAATACACGACACAAAATGTGCTGATTCAGATACTCTATCTTATTTTACATCGTACGGAAACGTTTAAGGGCCTCCAGTTAGTGAGACCATGATGTGTAAATCGACAGATCTTAATTCATCTTACTGGTAAATAGACGTTTAATCACAAATAAATTTATTTTATTCACAAAGATTTAAATAAAACCATTTCTTTCGCCGAACCTTTTCTCGATATGCTTAAAGTTTTTGTCTCGGGATAAGGTATCTTCTAGTTTTTTTTCAAATCATTGGTCTTATTGACAAAATTATCTTAGATAAAAAACTTTTTGAGAAAAATCACTTAGAAAGACTAAAATTGTTTAGTCTTTGTGAATAACATGAATTGATTTTTGTTAAAACATTTAATCAAATTGAACAACCATCAGGTGTCTCTCACCACATGATCGCACTAAATGGAGGCCCTTTAATGTTCCTATAATATCGGCATTTATGCTTGCGGAAAAAAGAACACCATTCATTTAATATTTCAGTAGTAAATATATATATTCTTATTACAAAATTAAGTTCACTCATTTTATGCCAGCAATTCAAATTGATAAAAAATGGAAAAAAAAATATTAAAAGTGTAATCGAAATGAATAAAACATTAGTAAAAACAATATATAAATATATCCTTTATATTTCACAACACTCCTATCCTTACACTATAATGTTTATTTCCAAATAAATTGCTTTATTGTTTCAAAATAAATAACTAAAAGCACAAACCATTCAAGCCGTTGTACGGAAACTAACTAACTACATCTAATCAATTTATAATGAACAGGTAAGTTAGTCGATGATGACATATACCTGAAACTATTCCGAGAATCTTCCAACAGCCGCACTACTTTCAAAACAATTCACTCTAACATATACTTCAGTAAACAATTCACCTTGGCAAAACCTGTATCTCTCTTACCAATTTTTTTATTAAATATAAGTCTTAAAATTGCTTCAAATGTATTTTGTTCCCAAAATAAATCGTTGCAACTAGTCAAGAAAAAGTCCACTTTGAAGAAACGAAAAAACAAAATAACAACGTAGGAAGATGCATTTAAATTGCTCCTACACATTCCGAGCGTAAGGTTGCCATGGAGATTTTGAGATTTTACTTCTTTCTATAAGTGCAGGAATCTCGAGTCCTACTTAATGTATTTGCAAAGTATGCGTTCAAATGTAATAAACTGTAACTATTTTAATTAACACAAAATACTTTTTTCATTCGATTTATACACGAAGCTTTTATCTTATGGAAACACTCTGAAATCCGTTTCTAGAACAATTTAGTACTAAGCAATGAATGTGATGTCTCTTGCTTCATGGATGCAACAGTTTTTCATGAACGGGATTCTAACCCACACAGCAAGCAATCATTAAAGTGTTATAAGAATGCGTTTACCACTTGGCAACACTGTCACATCAATGTCCCGATTTCATCTTCGTGAATTCACAATTTCATCTTCGTGAATTCACAGTTTTAACTTCGTGAATTCACGTTTTCAACATACGGAATTCCCAAATTCAACTTCATAAATGCACGATTTCAGCCTTTCAACTTCATGAATTCACGATTTCAACTTCTATTTCGCAAATTCACGTTATGCACTTGACGAATTCAGCTTTGTGAATTCACGATTTAATCTTCAAGAATTCACTTACACGAATTCACGATTTCATCTTCATGAATTCAACTTCATGAAGTTAAAACTGTTAATTCTTGAAGATGAAATCATGAGTTCGTTAAGTTGAAATTTTTAAAGTTCAAAACATAAATTTATGAAGATAAAATCGTGAATTTCGTGAACAATCGCAAATACACGAGAATGATAAATCGGAAATTAATGAAGTTGAAATGATTTTATTAAAGAAACAGCAAAACCAAACGTAATACTTATTTGGTAAGAATTACTGTGATATAAAAAATATCTTTTTCTACCGAACATTTGACCTATTGTGCTTAAGGATCCTGTATGTTTTGTGATTTTGTGTATACCATACTTGCAAAAAATTATATATGTATATAATTATGCAAATAAAACAATTTTCAAACATCAAAGAATATGTAAAATGTGTACTTCAAATATTTGTGCACATTATATTTAATCAATAAATTATATGCATTCATTTCTAATTAGAAAATTTGACTTAGAATTTATAGAAAATTAATTTCTAATTACCTCCCTTTATTTACACGAAATGTTAAATTCGGTAATATTTTTTTATAAATAATGCTTATTGAAACTTACAATATTGACAAATCTTAATTTGAGCATCACATTTATGAAATAAAACAATGAAAAAAATGTGTTACAGGATCTTTAAGTCTGATTATGTTCAAGTAATATTTCAAAATGTGAATTCAATCTAATATAATTGTATAATGATATAAAATTGGCTTGAAGCCAAAAAAGATCTGAGAGACATCAAAGTTAAGTTAGATAGATAACTGATACTCCTTTTTCGTATATTCCTGTATTTGATGCATTCTACGTTACCGCTGGTAAAGAAAACAGGCCATTCAAATAAAAGTACACTGGCAGCGTTTCTGCTATGTCGATTTGTAACGATAATGATTGTAATTACTTATGCATGTATATGTTACAACCGTTTCTCACAATTGAACTTGTAAATACCATGGAAACTGTTACTATCGTTCCAGGTTTAAATATTATGTAGCACGTTCAATATTTTCCGTTATTTATCATTGGCAAACATCTAAAACCAAATTATGTAATACATTTTATAATTCAGTTTCAAATACTAATTCCAAAGAAAAATTCAACAATCGGCTGAAATACAATATTCGATTGTGAACAAATATGTGCTTCTTCATCAAAGTCCAGTGTATAACAGATTTCTTCAAACACTTGAAACCACGTGACCAAAATCCGTGATCACGTAAGTAACGCTCAGTAAAGGTCACACCCATTACGTTGAGATACATGTAATACGTCTATTATCAAGCCTCGATTGCTGCATTTCAAATTGTGTCGTTTTGTACAAGTCTGAAAATAAAGTTTCTGTTCTGTTCTGTTCTGTTTTGGGGTGTTTTATAAGGAGTTTCTTTTCTACTATTTTTTTTCAAAAAAAAATCAGTCATGATTTAACTTGAAATGGGACTTTTATAGGTGTGATTATGTCTCAAAGTTAAACTACATTATCATATTTTAAAAGTACATGTATGTCTTTAAAGGTGTTGTCAAATGCAGTCTGGTCGATGTTTCAGTTGTGATTCCTTATTGATTTAAAGATACGTGTAGTATGTATCATTATCTTTAACTAATTTAAAGGGCTAAAATGATTTTTCATTTTTTGTTCTACTTTTCTGTCCAATTAGAAGGAATACATTGAAAATTCTGTTAGACCGTTTTGTCCTTAATAGAGTTTATAAAAAACAACAAGGAAGGGAGGCACTTAATGAACGCGTCCCCCAACACAGGACAACCGGCAAGGAGCCAAGCATGACAGCAAACAGATCAGAGCATACGGACAAAAAACGGACGGGGTCTTATTATAAACACAGGAAACCATAGAAACAAATTTGCATTTGTGAAAAAATGCTTTGCCACCGCATTAATACAACACTAAATAGAAAGAACAAAAGTAGATTTTTTTGTCTTTGCCATAATCAATGTCTAGTGAATTTTGGTGTCAAGGTCATATTTCAGCGCTTCAAATGAAAAACAATGTGCAGATGTGTTTAATGTTCAGATACAAAGGCCATAGTATAATAAATGATTCAAAATAAAAGTAATCGAAAAAAAAAAAAAAAAAAAAAAAAAAAAAACCAACAAGAAAACAAAATGGCAAATCGACTGGACTGCTAATGAAAACATGATAGGGACTAAGTTTTTAAAAAATCTAAGTCCAAGAGAAACCATGTCCTTGAGAAGAAGATAAGGCAGATTATTCAAAGAACACTATTTGACTGAATTTCCTTGGTTAAAGCAAGAAGACGAACATAGTTATTGTTATATGTCGGCTTAATCCCGAAAATGCCGATGAATCTGCTGCCTTATTCACCGGTAGATTTACTTAATTATTTACATATTTAGTAATCATTCTTGAACCCTGCACTCAACCTCGATTTCTACCTATTAAGTTCAAACAGCTGCTTTTTATTATTCTAGTGTTCTTTGTTAACAATTACTGATTATAAATTTACCCACAACTATTTACCTTAAGGGCAAAATACTTGTGTAACATATTCTAGGCTCTATCAACTTAAGTAAATGATCATCTCTAGCGAAATATCTGTACTTAATTAATTAAGATATAAAAAACAGTTATACAAAACAATGCACCGTCATTTAATGATACATGAAAGCTTATATATACATGACTACAATGGCTGGCATTGAAAAATTTGACAAAATTGATATTGCTGCATGCACAGTTTGATTGAGCCTGTTCATTGACAGAACTCGAAAATGCAAGTTACCGTCCAAGACTCCTAGCACCGGCTTCAGCAGAATCCAACATTTAAACAAGAAAATGGATTTTTTGTTGTGATAAGTACTTCCGAAAGGAACACCCTTCTTCCAGATATCTATAAAACAGCAGGTGTCAAGTGCCGTGTGGCAGCAGTAAAAAGTTCCCCCGTACTTCACTTCAGTATTGTTATATTTTCTGGTCCTTCGGGATAATTTATTCCAGTGTTTTAAGTGTTGAAAATTGATTACCGCTCAAGACGGTTCTAGGAGGCGTGATGGATGTTGCACTTTTTTCATTATCCCACTTGTACAGACTCAATCCATTTGTGTCTTCAATTTCCATGTGATTTTTACTTTATATTGTTAAGTAAATTTATTTGCATACCAAGATTGAAAGACAAACTGAATTTTTAGATATATGTAACCGTTCAGATACAACTATATGTGTATATATCGGCACACAATCTCGCAGACTGTACTATAAATATTTCGCCCGAGTTATACACGATATTAGACTTTCTAAATATTTTTTTGTAACAATATCAAGCCCATAAAATGAATACAAAGTGATAAAAGTCTCAGGTATGCAAAAACATAAACTTGTATCATTCCAGAACAACACCGAATTGCCAGAAAATCGTGATTACATATGTAATATCTTACCTAGCATACCAAAAACTAAGGATATGTGAACGTTATGGAAAACTGCAAAGCAAAGTAACACATTTTTATACATATAAAACGTGTCATTTAAAACTGCAACGTCTAATCTTGATAAGATATATAAAATAGAGAAAACTGAAACCCTAAAGAACGCACAAAATTGTAAATGTTGCAGGCTTAGTTTGATTGAGCCTGTTCATGGACAGCTACTGTCATGTAACTTTCGATTTTGTTACTACGTCGTTTTATTATACATTTTAGCACCGTATAAATATTACTGAATGTAATATGTACACAGACATTGATACCTTACTCAGTGTTGTATTTCAGATAAATATACATATGGTATGTATTTGTCTTTTTCAATTTTCTTGTCTCTTAATATTGATGAAAAATAAGTTCACTGATTGCCTATTAAATCACTGTATTTGTTTTGTCTTTTAATGGATGGTTAGTTGAAGCAGTCTTAGATGTTTTCTGTGAGGAACCATTGCCTTTTTCAAACCGAGCCTGCAACATTTTCAACTTTGTCGTGTTGGACTTTCTTTAGGGATTCTGTTTTCCTCAATTTTTTTTTAAGTTCCCTCTTTGGCCTCTCGGGAGTTATTGTGACCACTGTTTTTCAGATGATTTTGTGAGTAGATTTAAATGTATCTTTGATATTGTTTACAGTATAATTATATATCAAAATATCATTACTGGTTTAATAAATTTATTTAGAAATTTACGTGTACTTCTTTCGTCTTATATAAATTTATGATTATCTGTAA